TATTTTTATTTTCAGTCTATCCGAATTTTTATGCCACAACAATTCGATGTTTACTCATTTTGTTTGCATGTTTCATCCAAAATAAGACCATCCTATTTTCTGGAACTGCAATATCACCGGAATGATTGATATTTTCTAGCTAATAAACATTCACAAATCGGAAATTTGACCAATCCAAAAATGAACAGAACAAGTGCTGCTTAACTAATTAATCCCTATAAATATGATTAATTAGAAGAAACAGTTATAAGAAAAGAAATAATTTCTATTTAATCTTATTTTCTAACTTATTTCAATACAATTTTAGTGGTAGTAATACTTCTAATCATTATTTTAACTTATAGGATTTGTGTAATAATAATAATAATAATAATAATAATAATAATAATAAATAACAATTAATAACAATATTAAACTATAACAATAATAAATAACAATTAATAACAATATTAAACTATAACAATAATAAATAACAATTAATAACAATATTAAACTATAACAATAATAAATAACAATTAATAACAATATTAAACTATAACAATAATAAATAACAATTAATAACAATATTAAACTATAACAATAATAAATAACAATTAATAACAATATTAAACTATAACAATAATAAATAACAATTAATAACAATATTAAACTATAACAATAATAAATAACAATTAATAACAATATTAAACTATAACAATAATATCACCAAGATTTTTTTTCTTTTTTGACTAATTGCTTTAAAATGTTTTTTTTAGTCAAATTTTAGAGCTTTCCTTATGAATAAAATAACTAAAGAATAGTAAAAACTTTAATACAATCATTATAAATTACTAATATTGATTGAATAAAAAAAATGAAAAGAAAAGAAAGAGAAAAATAAAACAAAACATTCATTCTTTTGCAAAGTAAACTGAGAAGTAAAAAAAGTATGTGAAATATAACTTTCATATTATTCAAAATCTTTAAACCATTTTTTCCTTTCCTTCTCATTTGTCAGTAAATCTCGAGAATATTCTCTCTTAATCTCTCAACAATATTAAAATGTATCTTTCGAAGGGTTCGAGACTGCACAAAAAAGGAAGGAAAGAGAATTCTTCTTTTTTTTTTAGAAAAAAGCATAAAAATATGTTTTATAAAAGAAAATTGGAGAAAAAAGACATTTATCAAATTATGCAAAAACCATTTGACATTTTCTTTCTCTCTCTCTCTCTCTCTCTTTCTTCCTTTCCTCCCCTTTCTCTCCCTCGTTCTCTTTCCCTTCCTCTCTATCTATGCATTCCTCATCTCTTCATCTATTCAAAAATCGTTTCCAATTCTTTTTTTTTTACTTTCGATCCATTTCATTTTAAATTTTTTGTGATTTTTTTTATTCCTGAAAATAACGTCTCATCACTCTTTGCTTTTTTCCACACAAAAATTTATTATTGTTTAAATTTTTGCTTCATTTTTAGTCATTTATTGCTTCTTCTTTTCATTTCTCTTTGTTTTCTTTACTTACTTTTTTCTTCATTTTATCTTCTTTCTCTCTTCTTCCTTCCTCGCTATTATAATGAATTTTCAAAAAAAAAAAAATGAAAAAAGTGACTAACTTTGTTAAGTCTAAATTATATGAAATTGTTCTGACAATTTTTTTCTTTCCTTTTTTTTTTTTTGTTTTTTTGTAAATCATTTCAAATTTTGCATATAAAATCCTTTTACTTTTTTTTTCAGAAAAAAAGTTTTTAGTAAATATTAAACTACACACAAACATACCACACACACACACACACACACACACACACACAAACATACCACACACACACACACACACACACACACACACACACACACACACACACACACACACACACACACACACACACACACACACACACACACACACATACACATACACTACACACTCATCTATTCAGTGATTAATTGAAGTTAAAAAAGAAAAAATAGGCGGATATTTGCGCTTAAATAATGAATGATAGTAAAGAAAAAAGCTTTGATAATGAGAAATATGTTAAGTAGAACAAATGATATGATATGATAATAGTTTGATTAGTAAATGATAGTAAAAAGTAATGAGGAAGAAGAATTTACCTCTCTTTATCTTTCTCATATATTTCATATGTAATTTAAAGCTATACAAAATCACCTTTCTTTTCCACTCTTTTTTTTTTTTTTTTCAAACATTTCATTTGATTTTTTCCCCTTTCTCTCTCTCTCTCTCTCTCTCTCTCTCCTTCCTCTTATTTATTCATTAAATTTATTGAAGTGCTAAAATTAATCTTTTTGCCTCTTCGATATTTCCTACAGAGCAGTAGAAAAGAGTAATTTTAAGGGATTATTTGGCTAATTCATATTTGACCTTTAATACATTTCAGTTGTTTTTCCATTCCGAACACACTTTTCCTCTTCTTAAAGGTTCTTTTCCCTCCTTTCGTTCCATTTTGAACAGATACAAACATGGCATACACATACATACACATACACATACATACATACATACATACATACATACACATACATGTACATATACATATACATACACACAGACAAACAGATAGACGCCTACACAGAATAATCATTCATTGGTAGTGAACTGGTGCAACAGGCAGATGGTATGTATGGTACTGGGAGTGGCTGGGTGATTCCTCCGATGCTTTAGTTGTTTGTGCTTCTTAATTTGAGGTGGAATAATAATTATTTGTTTATGAATTATATAATATAAACATTGTTTATAATAAATATAAAATAGATATAGTTGAAAGATTTTAATAAGTAACACTCAACAATACTGATATTGAAAATGAATAATAAGTTTTAATGAATATTAAAAGTATTGTTTAAGTCGTTTCAAATGAAGCTAAATTTTTTAGAGAAAAAGTTTATTTATGACATTTTTCTAAGTTAAATTTGTGTGATGGGGAATTGGATTTTAGAACGGAAATGGAGAATTTTTAAAATTATCTACTTCATTTATTGATAATTAGAAATATCAAAAAATCAGTAATATCGTTCACTTATTTTGCAATGAATTTTTCGTCTTTGAAAATGATAATAATTACATCTCTTAGAAAACATATTAACGGTCGAATGAATTTCTAATTCTATTTTAATTTTCAAAAGTTTCATTCTTACAAGAAAGAAAGCCATTGAAAAGATTATTTTTTAATTTGCAGAAAATTATAAATTTTGATGAAAAGTTAGAAAATTCTGATTCATCAATTGTTTGTACAAATGTTAAAATCTCGTGGAAATACTTTTTCTTTGCCCTTCTTGTATATATGCTTTAAAATTAATATTTTTTAGAATTACTTCATGGAAAATTAATATTTCAGTACGTAATTTCAAGCCAAATAGTCTATGCGCTTTTTTTTACTGATATTTTTTTTCTAGAACTTAGTAAATTGCAAAAAAGAAAAAGAAAAATATCAATGCATCCATTAAATCTCATTAATTATTTTTGATTTGCATTTCCGAGATACAAAATAACTTATTTAATGCAACTTGAAGATATTTCTCTTTCTTTTTGAACAGCTAACTAAACAATTTTAATTATTTGTGATAGGAACTTTAAACTAACAAAATGTAAACATTAGATGAGATTTCGAAACTGAACAGTCATTTATTTCATTCCATTTTAAATATTCTTTTTCTTTATCCTTATATTCACGATTAAGTTGAAATAATCACTTCATTTAAACACATTTTTCATCCATATTTAAGATTCATTAGTTTAGTCTTAATTTAGCTTTCGTGATCACAACTTTGAAAGGAAGTAACATAGAAGTTTACTTGCTTTGTCTAAACGGTGCATTTGAAATTCAAATTCCTTATCAGAAATTTCACTGTACTGATAACTGATTTCTTAATTAGCCTATGTGAGAGGTGATATAAATATCTTGACTGTATTTATTAAGATTGATAGGGTATGGTAGAATTAGAGGAGTATCGACTGATAACAATAAATGTGACATTAATGACAACAGTGAATGTTACAATAGCATTTAGTAATGAGAAAATTAAATGATCAGTTCTAGTATGTCAGTCATTATGACAAAAAATCAGATTTGTGATAAAGTTACTGAGAAGCATCAACTATTTACTGATTACAGGAAATGGTTGACAAGCCGGACAATAAAGGAAATGCTAGGATGATAGTTGGAAATAGGATAGCAGCATAATTTAGTATAGAGTAAAGGATGCAATAAATTGTTACTAGACAGAAAGCATACTACTCTGTATGGTTTCATTTAACTTGATTCAGAGGAAGAAATGGAGGGAAGTTTTAGGGTAGCATATAATAATAGTACATGATAGTAGTACCAGGTTAGTGAAAATAAAGAAAGCGATGAAAGAGGAAGGATAATAATAACAATAATAATAATAACGATATTAATATAATAATAATTCATATATAATTGTTATAAAATCAATAATAATTTATACACTTTAGTGTTATCATATATATATATATATATATTTGAGTGCGATAATCAGAAATTTCCAAGAATTAAAATGGCCGAAGCCATGAAATGCCATACGGGCTGCGTTTTTCCCACCCAATGGTTGGTTTAAATGAAATCGATTGAGAGGGAGGAAAGGAAGGACGAGGAGGGATGAAGGATGGATGGTGGGTGAGGTGGAAAGGGTAAGGAGGAAGTTAAAGCGGGGAGGGTTGTGTGATTTTTGGTCTGAGGAGAGTTCTCTTCATTCGATATGTACGATGTATGTATAGACGGCTAGTTGGAGAGTTGGATTTTAGTTTGAGCGATTTTCTGTTTTTTGGATCAGTTAGTATAGAATTCATTATAGAACATGTTCGTTCAATTTTTAGATTAATATATTAATGAAAAAAATTATCATCAAAAATATGTCGAAGTACATTTTTTGTCGTATTAATGAATTCAAGAAGATTTAAACTTCAGAGAAGTTAATTATTTGAAATGTTTTAGCCGCTTAAAGAAGAAGATCTGGTGCAACAACCACCGCAAGCCGTACCATCTGAAATGGCTGAAACCAACAACGTAAGCAATTTTCAGTTTAATAAAAGAATTTTGAAAATTTGAGGAAAAAGAATGAAGAAATATTGTTTGTTTATCCGTTCCGATTCAGTCAGAATTTAATGGATAAAGTTATAATTCAAATGTTTTCAAGTGAGCCTACGCAACGCAATGATTTTGCAGAAGCCGGAGGGCCATTACGAGCAACCAAAGACTGAAACGCCCTTGAATGACGAAAACCACATTGACGGCAAGAAAATCGTTGCACGTCACATACAGGGCACCGTTAAGTGGTAAGTATTTCTTGACGTATTAGAATTTGAGATTAAGACACTGGTGAACAACGATATCGTTGTTGAGGCTATGTCATAAACAGCATTACTGTTAAAGAAATCCCACAATTCTGACATTTTATGTGACAGATGAAACAGTATGAGTTGCCGTTAGCAATCTTCTATGCTAAGAAATTGGATGGACGGATTGATTCTGTGATGGGTAATATACAGCAGTAGTGATTGATGTGGTATCACATTATTCATTCGTTCTATTTAAGTGATCCCATAGTGGTGTTACTTTCCATCATATTTTCTATTATTCACATTTATATTTTTCCAGGTTCAACGTCAAGAACGGCTATGGGTTCATAAACCGCGCTGATACAGGCGATGACATCTTCGTTCATCAAACGGCTGTCACAAAGAACAATCCAAACAAGTATTTGAGATCACTAGGCGATGGTGAAAAAGTTAGTTTTATTTACTTAAATTGTTGAATCCTGAACTTTACATATCAGAAGTCTGCATTGTTAGGGTTAATAATTATATTCGATGGTTGTGGTAATAAGAGTAAATCATTCTCTTATCTTTTAGGTGGAGTTCGATGTCGTGGAGGGACAAAAAGGCCCAGAAGCAGCGAATGTAACTGGTCCGAATGGTAGTAACGTGGAAGGTTCGAGATATGCAGTTGATAAAAGCGATATGCGAGGAAGAGGACGAGCTTATCGCCGACGTTTCTATTATGGTTATCGTCCGGGCAGAGGTGGAGCGAGACGTGCGAACTCTGAGGGTGATAGAGCTGATGGTGAAAGTGGCGATAATGAAGATGTGAGAAGTTCTGAATAGATGCTCTTTTATGTTATGCCTGCATGAAAAGGCTGCAGAATATGGTGAACATGTGGTTTTAACCTATTGATTGGTAAATAGTCGCGTTTACTGTTTAAAGTGAAATGCGATTTAGGGAGGAAGACGCGGGCGTGGAGGATTCCGTGGACGCGGACGTGGCCGTAGTCGTGGACGAGGGCGTGGTCGTGGTGGACAGCGTCGCCGTGCATCGGAAGGAGACCATCAGGAGGGTACAACGGAGGACCAATTAAGTGGTGAAAATGTTGCGCGGAAAGGTGGCCGCGGACGTGGTCGTGGTGGTACAAATTAATTTGCTTCACTTATCTCAATTATCGGGAACTTTCTGGGAGGTGTAAATTAAAATCACCCGACCTGTAAATTTCAGGCAGAGGTCGTCGAGGGGTTCGCAACCTTGATGCCATGAATGGTGAAATCGGAAACAATATTCATCTAGCTTCTGATGGTGAGAGTAAAGAAAATGAACGTCCAATTGGAGATATGAAGCCGTCTGAGCAATAAGTTACTCAGGTATGGATTCAGAGTGCTCTTTTTAGGTCATATTCAGAAGATGAAGATAGCCATGGAATACAATGTTATAGTTATTACATTGAATCCATTAGTTATCTTTCACTGGTATTTTTTAATTGATTTACTTGGTTATATCTACTGGGACATGTTAGGCTTGAAGTTTTAAAAAATTTTTAGGAAATTTTGGAAGTCTCTACTAAAATCTAACTGATCATTTTGCTTTAAATAATTTGCTTTTCAGCTGAAAACTTAACCTATTGTGCTTTCCCCAGCTATCATCAATTTGTCATGAAGCTCAGCCCTGTTATCTGAATGAATGACATCAGCTTCATCTTTTGCAAGGAAAATCCCTCATTGTTTTGTAGTCATCTCTTCGAACAAATCATTTTTTCTCATGTATGCTTCGAGTTGGCAATTAGTATTGTTTACTTTGTAAGTATCGCATTAGTACTCGACCACCGTCAACCTCTTGTTATGGACGGCCTCGCTTGTGTATCATTGGTGTAGATGCTTAGGAAAATTTTCCATTTTTTCAAGCTAAAATTAACATAGCCAGGATATCATGTTTTTCTTAATGTTACAGAGTTTTTTTTTTTTTTTAATTTGATAACCCGATGCATCCATTCAAAATTCTGGTTAAATCGTTGCGAGCAGTATGCGTTCATTCAAGATAAGACTTCATATCGTATTGCTATTGAACACACAACAATAAAATGCCAACAATTAGAGCATCCTTTATCATTTCTTTATTTCATCGATTCTGCTTCCATATGTTCCCAAAATCTGTCCTGAAAATAAATGGTATAAGAATTATAGTTCGGGAATACTGCAATATTTTATGTGCGAAAATGGTTTGAGTTCTCCTCTCATTTTTAAACATAATGTTAAGCTTTAAAAAGCATTCATAATTGTTGTTTCTTCACTCATGTAATTTACATTTCGTTTTCTGAAGTTTTGTTTTAGTGATAACCCACTTTGCTTAATCCAAATTTGTCAAATTTGATAATTACATGTATGCCTTTCGGTCTGTTGATGATTTGGAAGGTCTCCGTCTCCATTTTCGTCATTGCAATTGTTTTTGTTCATCATACAGCATATATGAGGAAAGCTCTTTTCCTCCTCGTCACTCCCAATTTTGTAAGTGAAAAACTGTTTTGTTTAGCAGGTTTTTCTCTAGATATTCATTCATCGTGGTCAAGTTTTATGTGCTTGTATATGGTGATGATGATTGCAGATGTACGGTGTTCAAAATTCATCCACAATTTAAATTGTTTGTTTTGTAGAGTTCCATTTAAATTTGCATGGGGAAAGTAAATTGGTTGCTTCTAACATGTTTTTCTTCCTGCATACTGTTAGAAAACAATGTTAAAAAGCGAAACCCCGACTACGAAATGGAATAAAGGTTGATGGAAGGACTAATGTTGAAGAGCGGAATAGTAGGAATCGCGAGGCAGTGTGAAGGGGACTACAGCTAAAGAGCATGAAGAACTGAAGTGATTGAGTTCACAGATAGGACTTATTAGTGGACTTGTTTCGACAGTCAAGTACCCATGGGCTAGTCGGAACAATAAAGATCGTGAAGTCGGGTTGCCATTAGTTTACAGTGCTGCAGATGTAGTGACTCGTGAGATGTTTTAATTAATGGTAAAAAAGTTATTTGCAATAGAGTACAATCAGTATCACTTGCGAAATGAGAATGAAATCAGACTTTGAATTTGTAAAAATGAAGGTAGTAAAAGTATAGCATTTATTTCAAAGTATTCTTTGTTTTACAGAATAAAACTTATAACTTCAAGATTTATTCCGAATCACTCTCGATAATCCGCTTTGTGCGCGTCTTTTTTGAGGTGGTATTATCATCCTCATCGGACACAGCTATCGGTCGTTCCCGTTTCCCAAGTATGATCTGAATTCGATTTAAAGACGTAATTATAGCAGTGTCTTAGTAAGAAAATTAAGATAATTCTTAATTTGAATCTTTATTATTAACTTGTAGCTTCCTTTACAAATGTACTATCCAGTATTATCCAAAATTTGACTTTCTCAAAAGGCTACTAATTCAAAATTTAAATTATTCAGGCAACATCAACCTCATCGTCGCTGTTATTTGTAATGACACTGTTCGTTTCACAAGTCGTTAATAATTCATCAACTTCCGTATTTCCATTTGATCTGGAACTCGCATGTTCAAAAATATTTGAACTGATAATACCATCAGTGGATTTAAGATCATCCTGCAAACCAAATTAATAAGTAAAATGCAAGTTTGTAAAAACTTTCAGAAATCTCATTATTGGAGTAGTTATAAGGAATCTCACATTTCGATATGCATTTCGTCATGATTTATTGTACTACTAACAGCAGTTGAGTGATATTTGACAATAATTTCTAGTAGCATTATCTCAGCAATTAACTAATAAATAATTCAGTCGATTTTTCTGCATGGAAAAGGATCAAACCCTTTATGTATACATTAACAAGAAGATTTTTAGTGCCAATGTTCTTAGTGGTTATAACTAGAAAGTAATATACTGGTTAATTTACAGTAGTGCGGCTAAGTCACGTAATTATACAATAAAAAAAAAAACGAGAACGAACTTACTTCTGGTGAAAGACATGTGATAGATTTGTTTGTTTTATTTAGTTCTCTGAAGATAAATGAAACAATGAGTCTTAAAAATCTACAGTTTTAGATACAAGATAGGAAAGGAGAAATCACTGAAGATGAGAAGTTCCTTGTCAAAAGTATAAATGACATTTACTACCTTTTTCCATATTCATCGTTACGTTGACGGGAATGGCCAAATCCCAGCATATTTGAATCTAAAATTGTAATCAGACTAAGATATGTAACATAAAGTCGTAAGGAAAGAAATAAATGCAGATATCTTTAAAAGAAAAGACAAACCTTCCAATAACTGATCAATCTCTTCTTCACCCGATTCTCTTTGTTCAATTAATTTTTGCGGTATTTTCGAATACCTGAATTACTGCATTATCGTAATTAATTTTATCTTTATAACGCATATTTCCATATATCAAAATTTAACATTACAAGGTTAATTATAGAATGAGAATAATGTAATAGCAGCAAAAAGGTTTACATATAATAATAGGCAGTATAACAACAAGAAATAACACAATAAGTGATAGAATAGTTGTACGAAATGATTCAAATATTTTATTCGACTCAAAAATTTATTTTCTTTGAAAAAATTTCATGCAATGATTCCTCTGTTTTGAGTGTTCTACTACAAAAAAAGTTCCTTGCCTACCAATCTAAATGGAAAACATGAAGTTTTTCACTATCCTGGAAGAATTATCATAAAATACGTATTTTGAAGGTTAAAATAAGTCTCCCTCAAAACTTTTTTCCACAATAGATTGAACTGTATTTATATGAGTTAACTGTAAATAAAAAATATAAAGTCAAAATTTCAAAAATTTTTTTGTAACACAAAAAAAAAAAAAATTCTTTTTGTGCTATTACTAGCACTAAAAATCCATTCTTTACAAACCTCTTTCTTGGTGGTTGTTCGTAGTGTATATTCTCATATTGTAGTTGTTTGATGATTTTTGCTCTCGTGTACTTTTCCGTCAAATTACTACGAATAAAGTTAACCAAATCTGAAAAGCAATGATCTGATATTATGTTCAGAACTTCGCGAAATTCAAAAACAGACGTTACATGGTTTTATGAAAAATATATAATATTCAGTTTTTTATTTTTTTGTAAACCGTTAAAGACGTTCATATAGCGATTAATTTCATATTTTCCGATTGTGACATTCAGTTGTACTTTAACTTAATAATCCACAAAACTCAGCGATGCTTGTAAGCCTCTATAACCGTAATACTATTCTTCCAGTGTTCATTATCTTATACCACAAAAAAAAAAAAAAAAAAAAAAAAAAAAACAAACAATAACAGCTTATTCAGATTATATAAATCATGGATTTGAGAAAAGAGTCCTTTAAACTTGGGAAAAATAGATTTATAACCTCCCTTCGAATCTGATCCAGAAGGAGGCGTTTTTGAATTAAATTCGTCGATAAGATTATGCATTTGATTGACAATTTCTGGTGTAAAAACTGATGACTTAAATCCTCTCTCCATATATCTGCAAAAAAGCTTAAAAAGCGCTTTGGAAAAATACCTGGTTTGAGATTTGTTTTAGCTAATTATTTGACTTTTTTTTTTCAAAAAAAAAAAGACATGCTTTAAAAAACGATTTGACCGAACATTTGGTAGACCGAAACAATATACTATAATTTTGTAACTCTTCTGTCTTCAATCTTGTTCTTCACCAAGATATGCTGAATTGATTTTCCATAAAAAATTGAATTTCTTACCTTCTCGTACCTCTAGCACCAAATGTGTTTAATCCAAGCATTTTCATTTGTCGAATAATTTGTCGACGTGTCCGAGGTCTTGACAAACCTTGCTCGATGTATTCAACAATATCAACACCTAAAAAGTTTTATCAAACTGCATACACTTCTTTTTTGCATATACTGAGAACCAGAAAATTTGAAACTTTCTCTTCGTCTTACCTTCAGGCTTTTCCTCAAATAATAAATATTCGTCATAAAGAGCCCGTAATTCGTTATCCAACTCTTCAGGCCATAATATTTCTTTTCCTTTACTACCATCTGATTTAATCCTGAAACCACATTTAGCTTTTAATTTTGTTAACATATAATATGGAAATTCCAATATGCTTGAGAAATTTTTACTTCCTAAATGTCTATTGTGCCTTTAAAATATTTTTTCTAAAAAAAGAAAGAAAAAGTGTTTCCGAGTAAGAACACAATAAACAACCAGTAATAACCGATATATGTGCACATATTCATTCAATACTTACTCGAACGTTCCATATCCATTGTCAATTTCATAACATTCTTTTGGACCTTTCCAGAATAAGAGTTCAGGAATCAATTTAGATCCAATTTTTTGATAATCAGCATAAAATCGTCGTAAAATATGATAACCAAATTGGTATATTTCAAAATATTGAGTTTTCTTGATCTCACTTATAGACTGATGTTTGAAACGTTGAGAAAGTCGCTTGAAGATTACAAAAAGGGAAAGCTGTAATTAGTAATTATCACTTAGTGCTTAAAATGTTTATAAGAATTTGAAGTCAAAATTTGAAAAAAAAAAAACTACTTTACTTCATTCAGATCGACTAACCTGATACAAACGTGAAGCCATTTTCAAATCAAAAGCTACTCGATGTAAAAGCTTTAAGACTGCCTTATTTACTTCGAATGTATTAGATTCGAAATCCGCTAAGAGAAAGATATACCTGTAAAGTGATTTTAAAATAGTTTCAAACAAGCAATGTAAGTTTGTTATGTAACATTGTTAAGAGAAAATTAATATAAAAGTATAACGATTAGCAGACACATTAAATTACCATTTTAGAACATCCACTCGTGCAAATTTTGCGACATAATTGTCGAAATGAAAATCGATTTCTTTCTCGACTATGTTTGTTTCAGCACCTGACTCACCACTTCTTTCCTCATATTCATCATCGAATTCATCAAATTCGTCACTGAACAGGATATCGTTTCGTGTGTCATCATCTAGCTCCGGTCCATATGCTTCTAGTCGATATTTCTTCCAATTTGCTTCAACCTAACTGTTTCTCATATTTTATTTTTTCAATCCAAATTCGAATTTTTGGTTTTTATTATATCCAGAAGTAAAAATTAAATTTGAATACTTTGAATCGATTATAAAAATTTTTAAATACCTCAATATCTCGACTTTTTTCTTCGATCTCGATTTGAATTGCAAATTTATTTAATTTTAAGGGGAAGTTAATAATTAATCACATTTATTTCAATAGGAAGTCAAATAATAAAAAATTGCGTTCTCAATTTCCCAATTCCTGTATCACTAATATACTCTAAACACAGTAATTCTTTCTCCTTCCACATTAAACGTTTTGGCTTTCCATCAGTCTCTTTCTGCATTACACACTTCCAGGATTAAAATCATCAAGAGAATCGTTGATACTTACAAATGAATGTCTAAGAATGACAAAACATTTTATACCAATCTTAATTTTTTTAATTTTTAAGAATAAAAAACCATTCTATAGTTGCTTTAAACTGAAACTGCTAATAAAATTTTGCTAATAATAAAAAGTAATCGATATAAAATGAGAAAAAAGAAAATGAAAAGTAATGAGAAAATAAAGAATGACTTCTTTAAGATCCACAAAGTATATAGCATATAATTCGAGGAACTCATCATCGGGTGTTATGTCATTTGTTCCAAATACATCATTTACGGGCCACAAATCACGCGCTGATCGATATATGCCAACAGCATCAGCCACACGTCGTTGTCGAAGTGCTTGCTGTACCATAAGCATTGCAAACTGCCTGCAAATAAATTTTTACAAACAAATATTTTTTTAAATCCTTGAAATTCACATGAAATATTGGTTACAATTAATTGCTCTGATATAAGGAAAGTAAGAAAAGAAGTTGTGAAAAGATGCCTGAGGCAATCACCATGAAAGAAATAGAAACAGTATAAAAAGTAAATAAGTTGATAAATACTGATGAATTCGATCTTCCACATTCAAAAGTACATCGATAACACTAATATCAACGGTTGGTTCAATATAACCAAATATAACATCCGATAATTCTTCAGAAATGTCATCCCACAAATTCCAGTCTGGTTCTTTTGATTCATTCACAATGCTATCTAGGAGAAATTCAATGATTTATACATGAGGAATATAAAAATCTGAAAAGACAAATGAATGACTTTAAGTTAATTCAGATTTTCAAGAAAATCAAATTGTCCTTAAATGTCAACGAGAAATAACCATCTAGCTTTTCTTTCTTTTTTGACTTTCGTCGCCGCATTTTTTGACGTTTAACTACCGTCGATAACATTCCTTTCTTGGAAAACTTCTCAATCAAACTAATGTATGCATGGTTTGCAAGCACAACATCTCGCAAAAAAGTTTTCGAGAATACACCTGGCTGCAAAAGACATAATCTTTAGCAGATTATAATTGACCATAAAAAGTGTGATCGATACAATTATAAAATAATTCATCTAAATTTAAACATAAATGTAGTAGAAAAAAAGCAATGACAATTTCAAAAAATTTTAAAACCAAGGAATGGAAGTAAATGTCATACTATATAGACTTCTTGGAGTACTGCAAAATAATATGAATACGTAACGATTCTTTAAATTTTAAAAGTTTCGATTCAAAATAAAAAATTTATTTGTAGTAGAAAATGTTAGCACTTAAATTAAACTAACCATAAATTTACGAATAACACAACTCGACAAATCTCTGTATTCTTCAACTCTTAATATATGTAAACAAGCTGATCCTACCTCCCGTTTCCATTCCTCATTTCCAGATTTCAGGACTGATATTAACCTTAAATGGTAGAACTTTTCAGTGGATTAAAAAAAAAAGATCCAAATGGAAAAGACAACTGGAAAAGAAAAAAATCACAAACAAATAAAATTAAATAGAAAAACTTACATAAGCAACAATTCTTTGTAAGCAGCTAAGGCGTATTGTGCACGTAAACCGTGAAGACGGCCTTCTTTTCGCTCAATTCTTACCTTTTCCAGATAATCGTCCAATTGAGTTTGAACATGATGAAATGCCTCTATGCTGAGTGAAGCCTTTATCTGAACTGACCACATAATACTTCATTTATTTAGATTTCGAATTCAAATTACGACATTTATAGCCATTCTCTACCTCTATTTTCTTTAACATTAGCTTCTGAATAGATCCAAATATTCTGTCATTCTCATATAAATCAACTTATATGCAAATATAAATGAAATATGGAATGAGAATTAGAATCTGAAATTTGCGCTATTCATCATTAAACAACAATTCTTATCCATACGTATCACATACTTACATATTCTGGCGATAAATCAGCCAAACGACAGAATTCCAACGAAAACTGCATTAAAATAAAATAATGTATATCAGCTTTATCTTGTCCCAAAGTTCGTTTTCCAGAAAAGGCCTAAAACGATTTCTGTGAAATTATTTCTCCTTTTCGCTCTAACAGTTGTCAAACTATCCATATCAATCGAATTATAATGCTCCTAAAATAGTAAAAAAAATTAAGATCTAAGCTACATACACTCGTTAAAAAAAAAATTCCAACAAAAAAAGAAATTCAAATTTTTTGTTGGATTTTTACATATAAATCAACTTACGCCATCTTTGCATCCACATATCAATCGACAGTACGATTTTTGCAGCATTTCTATGCAAAAGGATCGTAAAACTATACGCACGTTGAGAGCTGAAATATGTTTGTTAGTTTCAATGTCAAATGGTCGCCGACTTTTAGGAGCTCGATGCTGAATCTTCCGCTTATTTAAGTGACCGATATCATTGCAGTTTTTTATCACTCTGAAAAATTACATTAATTTGCTTTGAGACTGCAACTGAATTTTAATTTTTCTGATTTCCTTTTCAATCCTACAATTAATTGATGAATAATATTCAGATGTTGGCACTGTAATTACCAAATAAATGTTAAACACAACCTTTCTTACCTTTATAGTATAAAATTGTTTTAATTTAATCGAGATTGTTGAGAAGAAAATGAATTTAAAAGGACATGAATTTCTCAAATAGGCGGTTTTATTATGAAAAATGCTGAAATAACCCTAATACGATTTCCCAAGAAATAAACACAAGATTTTGTGCGACTTCCTTATTATTGCTTTTCATTAAATTTGATGAAACAAAAGGCAAAAACAGAACTTGTTGACAATCATATCGTTATCCTTATTAATGGCTTTCAATCCTTTCAAAATGTAAGAACCAGCAAAAGCAGTATGCCTGCTTGAAATACATCTACGTTTATTTAATTGTTTCTCAGTTTCTTGTTCAACAACTTTTCGCATCTCATTCTCTTGTCTCTTTCTTTCTTCAGCAGTGCGAATACTTCCAGCTGCCACAACATCCTTTGCTTCCTAAATTTTCAGCACTTCTTATTTAAGAAAAAAGGTCAAAAAAAAAAAAGAAAAAAAAAATCATCCAGCAAAATTTACGTGTTGCTTCAACAGCATTGCAAAAATTTCCAAAATCCACAAGTGAAAATCACGTTCCGCTGAATTTTCAGATATTTCAACAAGCAGTTTTCCAAAACCACTTTCCAGAATGGCTAGAACTAATTGATCATGACTGTTCATATCTTGTGGAACACGCTGCAATGATATGTTGGTAAATAATTCAAACAATTTTGCAATAAAACTTTTAAAATAAAGAGAGAAAAAACTAATCCAAATTCATTTTATAAAAGTACTTTCTCGAAATGAAGTTCCATTGGCTTACCTCCTTATCCAAATCGGTATCACCAATAGCAAGAACATAGCGAGATAAAGCAAAGATCCTTTCGACCAAAAGCTTCATTTCTTCATTTCTCTCTAACCAATCCTAAAAAAATATTTGAAAAAATAAAATGACATTTTGGAGCCATTATTTCAATTTCCATAAAATATTTAAACAAAGAGTGAGAAATCAATAAACATTTATTTCTTCGTTATCATTTAAATTAAGTTCAGGACCGGGAATGGATAAAACCACAGCACTAGGTTAGCTGGTGTAAATCAAACTGATTAGTTAGATCATTACTTGTTTCGTCAAGAGTGTCTACATTTTCGATTTTAAAGTGTTTCTGCAATTCTAATATTCCTCTTTTCATAATTTATGATTAATCAAACATTCTAGCTTATTCCGAAACAACCGTTTAAACCAAATCGTTCGTAAGCAAAATTTTCATACTTGAGCAAAGTAGGTCGCAGCTTTTCTTTCAAAGGTTTTAAACAGTTGAATATCACCGAAGGCTTCTTTTGAATTCCTGAGATTTTGCTCGATCTACAATAAAAGTGACAACTCAACGTCAAAGCAAACGATGGACAACAAAAAAGAAATCTAGAATTCACAAATAGCTTTACTTCTTGATAGATCAGCCAAGCCTCTTTATCTTCTGGATGTCGTCCAGCAAACATTAATGAAACTGGTTGACATAAATTTATTGTAAGCCTGTAAATATGGAAACAGGAATGAAAGAAATACGAAAATTTTAAAAGCGTCAAAATATTTTTGAATAATTCAAAGCATACACGAAATAATTGCTAGCCTTACTGCATTTCAACATTATTAAATCAGTAATCTCCACATGATAAAAAAAAAAAACCGAAATTGAATTCGGACAGTCTTTTTTTTTTTTTTTTTAGAAAAAGCAAGTCTGAAAAAATAAACATTAATTCTTCTTTATAATAACAGAAGAGGGTTAAAGGGGTTAAAAACTACATGCATTAATTATGAATAGTGTAGAAAAATAAATTTAACTTGGCAAATAAATAAAATAAAGTCTTAGAAACATCGACTGTTTGACGGATTGTTATATAAAGAAATACATCTTCTGCCTTCAGTTCATTAATTTGGATTTAATCAGTGATATTTTACTGTCTTAAAAAGGAATGCTAATAAATACCTCAAAGCAATATCGAATAATTTGTCAGGTGTATTTGGTGATTTCATAATTGGAATTAAATCGTATCGTACAATATTCCTTTCACCGCAAACACGTCGAGCCACTGCCGTAATCGTATCATTCCGTAAGAATCGTATCAAATCACGTATACTTTCTAATTAAATTCAAAATGACTTGAAGTAGAATTCTTCCGAAAATTTTTGTTATTAAAAAACTTCATTGCAAACAATGTAACATCTTATATTTTGATTACGAAAAATGATTTAAATTGTTTGATGAAATCATCATTAGATTTCATCAAAAAAAAAGACTGACAAAATGATAAAAAAAATCAACAAAATTTTTTCGCGGACATACCAAAGCAATCCGGTTCCGGAAAGTAAACATCATCTTCCAGAAAACCTAATGCATTGATTGTTGCTTGAATTATCCGTTCCATTGAGAAAAAGTTTAAATATTTATTGAAACATCTAAAATGCGAAAGGTATTATGGTTATGATAAACACAACATATGATAAATTGTGATTCAAATCTTATCACTAGTATCTTATCAGTTATCAACAATCAATTACCAACAATTAGTAATACTGACAACAAAAACAATGACAGTTCCACTAATTTCAACGATAAAAAACAGACAGCACAAATTATTTAAATTTCAAATTTCACTATTCCGCCACATTTCATGTGAGAGACAATGGCGACAGTGTAAGAGTGAGTGACAGGAAGAGGAGATGTCATTGTGGAACGTTCAGTACGAGAAGATTTAACGATTTAATTCTTAAATTTTTAGCAAGTTTTTTTTTTTTTTTTTTTTTTTAATTTTACAAAATTTTAGCAAATTCTTTTTTGAATTTCTCAAAATTCCAACAAATTCTTCCCTTTTTTCTTAAATTTATATAATTCCTATACTTTTTATTGGAATATTGTTTGCATCTTTTTTTTTTGTCATTTTTTGTTTTCAAACTTTCAAAAATTCTTTTTTTGATTATCAAATTTTCATTTATAATTGTTGTGAAATTTTAACTTCAATTAAAACATTGAAAATTTTTATTCTAATTGTTGATAATATAATTTTTATGTAATTTTAATTATTAAAAGAAAAAATTTTTTGCATAATTTCAATCATAAAAAAATAAAAATAAAACATTTGTTTTGTTAATCATAAAAAAATTTTAACATAATGTGTCAAATTTTTAGTATCAAATGAAATTTCCATTTGAATTGTTAAAATTTCAATTTTACTCATCATAACTGATAAGTTTTGGAACTTCACTAATGAAGTTAACTAATGAAATTTCATTTCAATTATTAATTTTTTTTCACTTTGATTCTTTCAGCAAATTTGATTTATTCATTTCATGATAGATAATTCAATTTATTGATTAATATTAAAATGAAATTCCAACTAATTGAGAGGAATACAGTAAGAAGAAAAAATGGAAATTAATTTTTAAATTTGAAATTTTTTGTTTCACTTTTTATTTTACTGTTTTTGACTTGAAATTTATTTTTTTCATTTTTTGTCGCATTTTTTCTTTTCTTTTTTTTTTTGTATTTCATGTTATGTATGCTTTATTAAATGAAAAATAATTCCAGTTGGTTCCTTTTTTTTCTCTTTTTTGGTTAAATATTCTTTTGATTATTAATAACTTTCATCTTATGTTCGATCAATGATATATTTTATGACAAAAATTAGCTGTCATAGGCAACTGTTGTGACAATAAAAAAGATCCAAATATTGAGAAAGTGAACAGTTGATTTATCTTAAACTAATCAAGCATAATTGATAAGCAAATCAATTTTTTTTGGCATTTAATCTTAGTTTAATATGCATTTTATGATGATAATTTTGTTTAAACAGATGTAATGTGACAATTAGAGTTCATTTAAAATATCGATATATGTTTCATATTATTTTATATTATTTAATCTATGTTAAGAACGTTTCATTCCATTGATTGACAATATTTTGTTAAGTCAATAAAAATGGCAATAATTCATGTTCTTGTAAGAGAAAGAAGTGAAAAAAAAAAAAAAAAAAAGATAATTAATCAGATTAAAAGAATTATGTTTTAAATTTAAAAAAAGTTAAATTTGTCAGATTTTTCATTCACAAATAATAATTGACATTTGCCATTTGCTTTATTTTAATTCCAACTTTTTACATTTTCAATTAATAAACAAAAATTTTAGGATGTATTAGAAATTTGAAAAAAGTATAATTATTGAAAGAAAAAGTAAGTAAAATTTCTAATTTACATATTGTTTAATCGTTGAATTCTTCATTGTTTACATGAATGATTTAATATTAATATTTTTTATGATAATTACTCCATTACATTACACATGATAAATTTTTCTTTTACAAAATAATTTCTTACAAATTTGTTTTCGTTAAAGAGTGAAATGTAATTTTAAAAAGTAGCAGTATAACATGCAGCACCTTGTGCTGGTATTACACCTATAACCGTCCCTAAAATTTCACACATAAATTCAAATTCTCCTAATTGGAAAAAATTGATAGCAGCACAACCGAATTGTCGACATGCTTGTGTGCACTGATCCATATCCTGCAATGTGATTGAAATAAATGATTATCTATTATCAGGTATCAAATATATATTATTTAATTTGATAAGAGTGATATCAGAGGGATTATTTGAATTACGATATAATTTTATTATAATAATTTTTTTAAAGTTATTAAGTAATCTGTTTTGATAGGAAAAATTTTGAATTTTCTGTCGAAAATAATTCCAATTAACAAACGAAAATGTCAGCGATAGTTTGTTGATATTCTTATTTCTTTTTTGTTATTGCTAACAGTGTAAATAGAATTTCTCGAAAATTATTTTTATTTAAAATATATATGTTACAAGGATTAAGCTTAATGATTTAAATCAATAAAAGCTAATTTAACCTTAACAATAGAAATTTATTTTTGGCTACTAAATTTTCATCATAATTTAGAATTATATTAGGCTAAGAAGAAGAAAAGCAAGCAATAAGCAAAATATTTTTTGTCCTGTAAGATAAAATTTAAAAATTTTAAGTATATTTTTTGTAAGTTATATTTCTGTGAAAATTCCTAAATAATCTAATATAGTAATTAACTGTTGCATACAATTAATATTTCAAGTAATATAATAATTTGCGAATAATTTGAAAGCCTTACCTGAATACCTTGGATTTCATATACTTTGGCACCTCGACATTCGGCATATTGCAATAAGTGAAAATTATTATAGTTTAGAAATTGTGGCAGTGCTGAAATTAAAATTTGCTAATTCACACCTAACAATAACAATGATAAACATAAAACTGGTTCTCTAACTGGGTAAAGTTCTCAATTCACATAGAAAATCTCATCATAAAAATAGTTTTTTTCAATTTTTTTATTTTCATTATTTAACTATAACATTATATTTGAAAATATTGTAGATTCGTTATCAATTTTCTATTTTTTTCTATGATACTTAAAAACTTTAATAATATCCAAGATAACTATTTTATCAGTTCTGTCTCAGTTTTTACTTAGCTCTTACCTTTAAAAGAAATATTCAATATATAAATAAATAAAATAAATGGCTGAATAAAAAATAAATAAAGAAAGAAAGAAGAAAAAAATAGTAAATAAATAAATATATTCTGTTCTACCCTATTAGCGCTGGGTGTTATGTTGTATGACAGACATTATCCAAATAAGCAAGTTGATATGATATCAACTCTTATAAGTGTAATAATAATAATAATTGATTAAGTAAATAAATGTCACTTACGAGAGCAAGAGTTTGCAGTAGGCGCTAGATGGAAAATAATGAAAGTGATGAAAAGTTGTCGATAGTGGTTTATCATGATAATCGTTGATTGCTGTATCAATAATGTAATATTAGGACACTGTGATAAGATAAATTTAGAAAAACTATAGTTTATATTATCTTATGTATTGCAAATGGATACTTAAAGTGAAATGTTTTTATATAATAAATTATATCTAACATAAGTTTTATATGTTTCTTATTTAATAATAAATATATTTTTAAAAAGGAGAGAAATTAGGAAAACAAAAAGTTTTTTCTTCCTTTTTTTGTTTTTATCTAGAATTATTAGAAGAGAAACAAATCTCTTTATCAACATTAAATAAAACTATGATGTACTATAATCGTTAGTTTGAAATAAAAAAGGAAAAAAAAGCTAAATATATTATGAAAAGAAATATATTTGTCACACTTTTTTTGCCATCATTTATATAAGTATGCTTTAACTATAAATTGATGAATAATTTTAGAGAATATTTTTATTTCTTATCAATTCTCATCGTCATTTCTAACCCTTCATTTTGATGGATATAAAAAATTGTCATACAAAAAGATTTGGTTATTATTTCCATTATTTATTTTTCTTTGATATAAACCGCTTTATGCATAAGGACGATTGGTCTTTGGTATTATATATGCTTAGAAATAGATCTATTATATGAAATTATTTCTGTACTTTAAGATTAATAATAATATATAAAATTAATAAAATATAATTTCAAGATGACAAAATGTTATCATAGGTTCATAATATGCATTATAATAAAAAAAATTTTTTTTTTTTTTGCAATCTAACTTATAAAATGTTTCATTAATGATATCTTTTTATGAACAATATTGTTTCGCATTTCTCATTCGACAGCAAAAAAAAAGAAAATTTTTCACGAGAAAATATGATTTCCTTGATTCGAATGAAGACAACAATGAATAATTTGTAATTTAGGGAATACTTTTATTTCTTATCATTTTCATCGGCTCATGAATGTTTTCATTTAAAAGTTAAAAAAAAAATTCTATTATTTATATTCTGAGGAAGAGAAAGTTATATTATATTAGTTTATTAGATAATAATAATTTCTCACATAAAGACACTTTGAATTATCTAAATGATTGATTGTTTTTAATCATAAATTAACAATTTCAATTACCTTTAAACGAATAGCAATGATAAGAGAACTATTATATTTCAGTCGTATCACATATCATTACACACTGATAATATAAATACCATAGAAATCATATAGTATTCGATCAGATTATATAAAATATTCGAAATTTTATTGCGACAACAATGCAATATATGCAGAGAAAGCTGTCTATTGCAAACTGTCGAAATTATTATATCTGATCAAAATAAAAGTGAAAAATAAAAAAAAAATACTGATCCATGATTAGACGTATAATACAAATTGAAAAATGTTTATTAATATTTCGTTGTGCAATTATCATAATCGCTAATCATAGTGATAATCAGTGTGACTAATGCAGTCTGTATAAATGATTCTAAAAGATAATATTATTAAAATTAACAATAATGAACTTTTTTCTTCAATACTTTTTGATTAAATTCATAAAATTGAAACTATGCTTATGAAATTATTGATTTTATAAAATGTAATGTTTGCATTAATTCATAATAAAAAGGAAAGTTAAAATTTTAACAATAGAAATTCCAATTGACTGTTATTAAGAAATTGATAATTTTATCTTAAATTAGAGCATTTACTGATGCAGTTAGGAAATTTTATATGAAATAACACCATGCAATAGTACTATCGGCTTATCAAACCAGTTTTGTTATATAATATCCACTTTACGATTCCTCTATAAAAAAAAAGAGAGAAAACTACTTTCCTGAATATTTAACTGTTATTTCATCATTTTAGGATGATATAATTGAGAAGAGGGAAAAAAGCAAATACTGATGGTATCTGTCTGGTTTTTTTTCTTTTTGTTTTTTAATGTTTAATATCAATGTTAACAATTACTCAAATTACTAAAAAAAACACTTGAAAATAATGTTGACATAGGTACAATAAATCATGGAATGTTGAATAGTAAAGAATTAAAAATACATCGCACTAAATATACTCAGAGTTGTTCATATGAGAAAATTGATTAACAGGATGACATTCAGATTTTCCATTTCATTTTCACCAATTATTTATCATTATTGCATGAAAGTGAAATACTGTATTACTTTTTTTGCTTCTGTTTTTTTATTCATTACACTAATATTGTAGGAAGCGAAGATTTTATTTTTATTTTATCACTTCAAAAAAACATATTAGGAAGAAAAGAACAATGAAAGAAGATAACAAAGTATGATTACTGAATTATAGTATTAGTTCATTTAACTTCAGAAACTAAAAACATTGTTCGCTAAAAACTTAAAATCAAGTCAGAAACAACTCAATTTATAATTCACTTACAAAATTTGGTTAATTTTGAGCAATTTCTATTGCTAATCAATTTTTCTAATCCGAAAAATGAAAATTTTTTCAAACAGAGTAAAGATAAACAATTGATCAATTCGTAATTATTGCAAATGTTTCAACCGCCTGTTCAACTCTTCTACCAAACTGTCTCGAGGAATATCCTGGAATGTTCCAAATTCCATAATGGTATTAAAAAATCGTAAAATAATATTGTTTACAGCATCATCATCATGAGTGACATCCTGATCATTAAATTGATATATGAAAAAGCGAAGTTGTCATGCCACGTAGGCAAGGTTCGATTTCAAACTGAAATTGAAACTTAATCAAACAGAATCGTAATATAAGTGATACCTGTTCGATACGAGAAGGTACATCTCTCAGTTTTAATATGCCTTCTTCCAACTCGCGCTCACCAACAATTATTGCTAGCGGTATTTTATGCTCTTCACAATATTGCATTTGGTCTAACATTTTCGGATTTGCCTTCAAAGCCATTTCAGCCTGAAATATTTTTACAATTCAAAAAAAAAAAAAAACACATGAATAATATTTTCAAAAGAAATATGTAGTTCATAGTGTTCTTATATATCTTGAGTCATGGAACACGTAGGCTGTAACTAACAAGAAGTAATATCAAATTTATTTAACAACAGACCTTAATATTATTATCCCAAAGCAACCGGCAAATTTTCATCCTTTCTTTTACTAATTTCTTTTGCGCAGAAGCAACAAGAACTTGTGTATCTTTTGATCGTACATCTTCCATCTAAACAACAAAAACATGCCAATTAGCAAAATTTTTGAACATTTACATTTAAATTTTTGAAATTCTTCCAACATTTTAATAACTTACTTTTAATTTTTCTTTCATAATCGTAAAAAGCCTTTCAATTCCGAGCGAAATTCCTACGCAAGGTACTTTATGTTTTGGTAAAAACATTGATACTAAATTATCGTAACGACCACCACCAGCAACTGATCCAATATTAGTACTTCGAGTTTCTTTATCGGAATCGCCATTTTCTATTTGTATCTTTTCGGAACAGTCTAAAATTCATTCTGCAGTTTTACTGCCTATATTTAATATCATCTCTATATCAGATTTCATTAAGTTGATTTACAGTTATTCCTCAAAGTAAAGCTTTGTGATAGGAGAATTTTTGAATAGAAACTAAGTTATACATAATAATATATACATAATATTAAGCTGTAAATCAAATTTATTTATCAATACTTAATCAAAAAAGAACCAACCTTTCAAAGTAACTTCAAAAATTGCTCCTGTATAATAATCAAGACCTCGTGCTAATGATGGTTCAATGGTAATAGTCGAAAGAATACCAAAAAGCTCACAATATTCCAAAAGTTGTTTCATTTCAGATACAGCTTTTTGTATATCATTATTTTGCGATGTCGTTTCATCTTTTTCAAACCAGTTTAATAAATCCAAATTTGTTAAGCTGCTGTTATGTTCTGAAAAAAAAAAAAAAAAAAAAAAAAAAAAAACTCGAATTATACTATTCTGAGAAATCAAAGAAGAATTAAAGATTGAGGCGCAAAACCATAATATAAATAGACAGCTAAAGAAAGAATGGAATAGTGACAATAAATTAGTGAATGGTAGATACATTTACATAGAGAATATCGATAAGCCAAAACATATGCAGATGCAAAATAGAAAATTTTTATATAGTTCTTCAAAAAATATGATGGAAATTCCCTCTGTTAAATTATGTTTCTTTATCTAAGCATTTCGGTTCCATAAAATCTCTTTCAAGCTTCTTTTTGCATTTGCTTTATGAAGACAACCTGAAATTACGAAAAAGATAGACAACAAACCTCGTAAACGTACAAATGTTTCCAGTTTGCTGGCTACATCACAATGAATATGTTTCTCATTACACAATTCATTTTTGATATCTTCCCACGGGAGTTTGTCTAATTTATCAATCGACGAATATACCGCTTTATAAAGCTTTTTCGGTACATCGCAAACAGCAAACATACCATCAAGTAGTAATTTATGGTTTACCTAAATATAACTTCTGAAAACACAATAGCACATTGAAATCAGTGCATAACTTCAACATAAATTCCATTTTTTCTATTAAAGAAGCCAAGATTCTAAAATTTAGAATATCATACATAGCATATTTGAGATAGCATTTCAGACAACAATAATATGACGAAGATTAATAATTAAGAGCAATGATATTAAAGATTTCAATCCACTTACTTTAATTTCAAATGTACCAACATCTAATGCATTTAGTATTTCACTAATAATTCTTAACAATTCGGCTTCCGGAATCATCAAGTCGTAAGAACCAGCAATATCAAAATCCTGAAAAAAATTTCAACAATAGTCTTGAGTACAAATTGACAGCAACAGATAAAATGCAAAGTCATAGAAAATAAGATGTTCCTTCAATACTTTGATTTAAAAACTTTGTAATTCTTGAAATAACTCATGATGAAACCCAAAGTAGCCATACAATCCAAAGTTTTCCTCTCCCTATTTTACCAAACCTTCAACTTTACAGTCAAAAACAGCAGGCTTTCATTTGTTAATGTTATTAATCCTCAAATTTTGTTGATTAAAACATTTCCCAATTAAGTTAAAAAGGAACTTCAATTTAGTTAAAAGATGAAAATACTCACACACTGATAAAATTCTCGAAAGCGTCCTCTGGAAGGATTGTCTCTTCGATAAACTTTCCCAATATGATACCGTTTTAGATACATAATGGTTTTATTCATAGCAAGATAACGAGCAAAGGGTACCTAAAACACCATAACTTTAATATATAGAGTTTAAAAGTCTAATGTGAGTTTAAAATTAAAGCGGTAGGTTTCTTCCGTATATCAAATGAAAAGTAAGATTCACCAATCAAAAAATTTAAGTGATCATAGGTCAATTTTTGAAACTAAACTTTTCGAAAAACTCCTAGGCAAAAAATTTATTTTTTCAACTTTCTAAATTCATACTTCAAAAGGATAAATATAAAAGCAGCTGCTTAATTTAAGGACGAGTGTATCAGCTACAGATGATAAGAAAAACTTCCTATATTCTAAAACATTAAAAAGCGTCATTTTGAACCATAAAATGATGACAGATGGAAACATATCATTCAGCTTAAAATTGTTATAAATATCATTGATAACATACCGTGAGGTCGTAGCGCAGACTAAGAAGTTCACCTCCTTGATCAGACAAGTCATAAACTAATTTCCCACCTTCCTCACCATACTTTCCCATCAAGATATCACGTAACTCGAACACAGGTGTATCAATGGTAACACCACCATGGCGTCTAAAGCATTCTGTAACTACATCTAATACTTGTCTTCGCAATGTCATATCTTGAGGCCCGTAATCACGAGTACCTGGAAAATAAATCCTTGAAAATAAGCGATGAGGAAGGAAAATTTCAATGCCTCAGATAAGAAACTTAGAGACATACCCCTTGGACATCGAATTTCAAATTTCCTTTGAGATTCATGGTTCGCCAAAGGCTTCTTCTCAACCATGGCCACTATATTTCTTTTAATCTATAAGAAAATTTTGGTAGAAAAAAACTCATCAACTAGAAAAATATCCTTTCATATTAAGGATTAAAAATTAAATGGTAATTAAATTTTTAAAACTAAATTTCATGTACATAGAAAATTTTGTAAAATCTTATGCCTAAAAAATAAAAAACTATTGATGGTGAAATTCTCACTACATAAAAATGAATATTTTATATAAGCTTCTGGACAATTTCTTTGGGTCAAATTCTCGAAAATGAAATCATATGACAACATCCCATACTTTAGGATGCAGTTTAGTTCACACAAGTTGTCTTCACCAATACATTTTGCTATTACGAAATAAAACAAAACCTTTAAAAAAAAAAACCAAAATCTTCATTCGGAAAAAAAAAAAATGAATTGTTGCCGAATTGATATTCATTTTATTACCTCAGCGATAGATCCGTTTCTTCGAATAGCAAAAAATCTGACAAAATTTGAACAAGAAGGCAGCCAATGACCAACAATAGATAACATCAATAATGAATGCGTACTACTCAACAATTATTATCTTTCCGCATTAGCTTCTCTCATGTCAAAAGATCCACAATTATTAACGAATTCTTCATGATCTAAGTTTTCTTTTGCTAGTAATCGTAGAAAGTTGATATTATTATTATTATTATTATGGTTTACAATGCCTTCGCCCAAATTCCCAAATTGATATCGATAATCTGTAGCTGAATTAACACCAGTAACCCATCAGTGAACATCATTTCGGCAACAAATCAATAAGAGTAAAAATTTATTTTCAAATATGCATAAACATTGCAAAATCATTAGAATTTTTTAAAATAATTCTCGCTTGAGAAAAATAAACATAAGACACAAATGATGCTTTCGTTTGAATTTCTGAGAATTTCAGAAGTATACCTTTCTCCTCCTCTCTCTGCACTCTATTTAAGAAACTCAACCATGTAAAATCCTAATTAATTAAACAATTCACTAGAAAATATTAAGAACTACAGATGTATTTCAAAAATCAGAGAAATTATAGAAGTACGTAGCATTAAATCTACAATCAAAATTAGCATTCAGTTCCAAACATTTATAAATTTCCATTATTTCTGACAAAGATGTCCACATTCATAAAAATTTGGAGAGTAGTTGAGAGATGTAAATCTGTATCTTCGATTTAATGAAAAGTGTGAATATACTTTCGTTACTGTAACGAGAAAAAGCTATCAAAATACTTCCTGCTTGCCATACCTTACAATCCTAAGATTTTAAAGTTTTTTCGTTTTTCATTTCATTACCAAGTCTTCTAGAATAAAATTTCTTACGAAACACTCACATTACTACGATTTATGCTACAGTATAAGATGCAAATATCATGATTCAATGAAAAACTATACTATTTAATAATACCAAGTCTTCATTCTCTTTCATATTTTTCAGAGTTTGTATTTCATTGGCTAAAGCTTTGATTTCCTCACGTAGACCATGTGCCGAATTAATATCAATGCTTTCCATTTTCGAAACGTTACTCTGAAAGTAAATTTCAATGCATAACTTAGGCTTACGTCAATCAAAAACATGCCATATTTTAAAATCATAAACCATCAGATAGCTATAAATGAATAAAATACTAAAAAAAACTCCTTAAAGTTTTAGTTTAACTTTCAATTTAATCTGCAAATTTTTAGTTTAAACCCGTTGAAATTGACTAAAATTCCAGACACTGATTAATTCACACAAATAATGTATGATATTTAAAATATTTTCAACTTTATATATTTTATATAAATTAGCCAATTTTAGCAAATTTGACAATGCAATAATACAATGATAAAATATACAACTCATTTCTTAGAAATTATTTTAGCATATAATTTTACTGAAAAAAAGAAAGAAAAAAAAAGTGGAAAAGAAATGGAACGAAGCGATACTACAAATTTTTGTAAATATTACTGATTTCACAATGAAATAAGTCCAACAACATCACTAAGTCATTTCTATCTAACCAACTAAACAATTCCGTTTTGTCCGAGTCTTCAAATACCACCTTTGATATGGGCTATAAAATGAGCAAATTGTTTGATGCGTTTGCAATAGTGTGTGATGCATTTCTTATTGCTGTACTTAAATTTACTATGAAATGAATGGTACTTTTAAAGATTTGTAATATTTTTTTCTCTTTTTCATTTTATTTTCTTTTTTCAAAAAAAAAAGAAAAACTTTTAATTCATAGTAATTATAAATTTGGTTGTAGTTTTTCCTTTTGTTTGATATTTTTATATTATTGATTGTTTCCAATATTATTTGTTTTTTTTTTCTTTTTTTGACAATAGAAACAACTAATTACCATTGTAATTGTCATATAATTTTTCTTTCTTTTTTATTCGGTTTTATAGCATAGCAACTATTGATTTTTTTTTTCACTTGATAGATTTATATTTCTAGAAATTATTTAGAAGAAAAAAAAGATTTTAATAAGGAAAAATTTTTATATTCCTTAGCTTCTCAGATATTTAAATCCTTGATAGATCTTTTTTCTTTTCCTTTTTTTGAGAACTTTTTAACTTTTTCCTCTAGAAAAATTTATATTTTATCATTAAGATTGAAATCTTAGCAATTTTTGCTAAATAATAAATAAATTAATAACTTTATCTAAGCTAGGAAAGTTTTTTGTCTTTATCTGTACAATATTTTTATTATGTACTTCCATCCGTAGAATATGATAGTCATTTACCTAAAATGTCGATCGATATTGGAGGGAAGCGATACTAAATCTTCGCATGTTGTTTGTTTTCTCTGTTGTTCTTTTTTTCTGCCTTCTTCCTGTTTCTCCCTCTTGCGTATTATATTTTGAACTATTCTGAAGTACTGTTTCCCTAATTGAACTTTGTATTTATTTCACGTTTCTGCTACCTTTGTTTTATCCGAACTGTAGATGCCCAGTGATAAATTGTTTATAAGTGGGAAATAGCATTGTCATATTTGACTGGCTGCGTGATATGTTGTGACCTTCGGATAGCTCGGGATTGGGTCTTCTAAACTTGCTTATCTCGAGTTGAGTAGTTAGGTTTCATTGTTTTTCGTATCAGTTTTAGTGTATTTCTTAACTTTTAGTTTCACAACTTATTCATTATTGAAGCTTATTATTTTATGGCTTATTTTGCTCGATGATGATTAATTCACTGTCACAAGAATTTCTCATTTTTGATATAGGTGTTAAATTATTCCCATCTCTTATTTTCTTCTTTGTGTCCTCTCTTGCTCGTAACATGTACTATTTATCATTGAAAAATTCACTCCAGAAAAGAAATTTTGGTCCTTTCAGATTGTTATTTCGTGTCAGGAATTACAAAGGAAATGAGCGATTATTCTCATCCATCATACAATCGGGCGGCAACTACGAACACAACCGCATCATCACATAAACATAATATTCCACCTTCAAATCCAGCATCTCAGCAACAAAATACGCGTCCGCCCTACACCAACTCAATGTTGAATTCGATCTCTTCCGGTATGTTCTATACACTGTATCATTTTATATGTTCTGTATATCATAGTACGCTATATGTGAGGGAGATATTTAAATGATACCATTGGGTTGACTGTATATATTTCGAGATATGATAAAATTAATATTTTTGGAGACGATAATATGTGATGCATTATGTTATCAAATTTCTTCAAATGTGATAAAATACTGATAACGTACGATAGAATCAGTAAAAGAAGTAAGGGGTGATTAGAGGAAAAAGCGTACTTAGTAAGCATTCCATACCAAAATAATCCGATTATTTTCATTAATGAGAAACTTCAAAACAATTTGGTTTAATAGCGTTATTTATAATGTATGAATTGGAGAGAAATTCAAGAACGTGTCCATAAGCCACAAAATAATTATGACAAACTGTAATGTGATTCAGACCTATCTATATAAGATTGTTTGTTTAGAATACCAACATTTAGTAGTTCTCTAATTATTTCAAAATTACTGCCAATGTGTCTTTCAATCTCCTCACTTCTCTGGAATATAATGCTTTGTAAACTTATATCTGGGGCTGTTTCATTTCCGGAATGTATACTGTTTTTTTATAAAAATTTGTCAAACTTTTCCCTTTATTAAAAAAATAAAAAAGACTAATTATGCAATGTTTCAGATGTGTATGGGTCACCGAATTCACAAATTCCATATCAGCAACCACCATTAAATTCTCATCACAACGGTAGTTTCCAGCTTAATCCGAATGCTCCACCTTTTCACCCATCATATTCGGTATGTTGTTTGTACTGAACTTCGATAAGTTTTAATCTATTGGTAATTTGGTTTCAGTGATGATAATAAGTATTTTGCTTTTTAATTTCTTTTCCTTCGACTTTCTTAAAGCAATTTTTTTTAGTATCATTTGCACGATATTCCATCTTACGTAAATGCTCCAATGTACGATGGATATTGTCCAGCTAACGCTTATGATTATCAGGTTTGTTTGAAATGAAATTTGACTGGACTGTAGATTTTTTTAGTTAAAATTTTAGTAAATATCGTCTGATTAGTTTTTGCTAGTTAGAGTAATGAGAATAAAAGTCGGAAAGCTCTCCAACTTCGCACACCTTCACAAAATACATGAAATCAAGAACGAAAGAAAAGGATTTAGTCAAGAGAAAGTGAACGAATATAATATTAATTTGATCTTATTAATTGATCTCAATCGAGAAATATTGCTTTTTTCTTTCTTTCTTTTTTTTTAGTTGATTTTTCAAAACTAAAATATCTCATTTGAAAAACTTATATTCTCTGATTTTTCAGCACTGTGGTGTAAATATAATGTAAAATAAGGTCTTGTGGTAGTTAACTTACTTGTAAGAAATGGGTTAATCATAACTCTGTAACCTTTTATGTAATTATGATTTGGAGCTCAGAGAATATAAGTTCAGTAGAACTGTGCTATGCATGTGGTCAAATTCTATAATTATAAACTGATCTCAGTATTATTTGAATGCTCTATATGCATAGCACCACAGAAAGATATACATAAAAACTATAAAAACAAACTCACAAACCAACCAGGCTAAGTTTTACGCTATTAAGCAAAGTTTAGCTTGGTTTGTGAGTTTGTTTTTATGGTTTTTGTGTATGTTTGTCTGTGCGTTGAGCACATATTCTTTTTTAAAATCTGACTTGGATCGATATGGTGTCATTAGAATGATGTGATAGACTACTATGATTGGGATGACACCGAGAGAAGTGGAGAAGGAAAGGCATGAATGGTATCGTGGTAGTTGGATGATTTATCTTATTCTTTCTGTGGTCTAAGATATCATCATTGTGCACTGTTTGCGCAGTTGTTTGACGATTATTTATAAGAAAGAAAAGGTAGATGAACATAATTCAAGGGATGCATAGATAATGTGATTTTATCGAAATTTTTAACCAAGCGATTTTGGTATGGAAAAGGAGGGGAAAGGTTCATTGGGCGTACTGAGATTGTTGGATGGGACAAGGCAATGAGATGCGGGAGAAGCGCGCACCGAATAACCATGCCATTTTCATTGCTGTATTTAAGTATGTGAGTCGATCTTCTCACTCAATATGAGCTCATTTTACCAATTCAAATTTATGAATTTTCCTTATTCTCTGCTCTGCTAGAAATCTCTGCAATCTGCTTTGTGTTTTCAAAGCACTTTCGTGCATACATACCTCTTTTGTCCTTTCCTTCACTTTTGATGTACGAGAAAGAGGGAAAGGAAGGATTGTCCTTCAATAGTTTCTTATTTTTTGTCCCACTTGGTTTATCTCACCTGTTCATTCTAATCTACTCATTGTCTGATTATTCAATTCAAGGTTTCATCAGCAATGACAGTAAAGCAAAATCAGGTTTAATTCTTTATAATATATGAGCTCAAAGGTAATTTCACAGAGAGAATAACTTTCGAGAATCGCTCGAGTAATTTTATTTTTACTCTGATACAGTATTCTTATGCTGATTTGAGTGGAAGAATTTGATTTTCTTTTCTGAGAAAATTGCGTTTTTATTAGTGGATAGGTCTGAAAAAATACTGGAATTTATAGCACTAGCTGTTAATTGATATTCATTGAATATTATTTACCTGAACGGATATTATAAGACGAATGTATTAGAATTAGAAGGTTTTGATTTTAACGACATTATTCTATAAGTATCTCCAATTACCCCAATTAACTGATTCTTTCATTTCAATGAATTTCCTTTTTATAAGAAATCAGTAAACAGATTTATGAAGATCAACTCCATTTTCGTTAGAACTATTCTATCGCATTTTACGATTGCCTTTGTTTAAGAAGAGCGCTTTGCATCAGCCGGGGAAATTTTTTTGGGTGTTTTTATCTCACTATGGTGTGATTTTATACAAACAGAACTGATTTGTACCAAAAATTTTTAAAATAATCCATCAGTAATAGTAGATTTGGTGGGGTCTGGTATTTTAGTATGCATCGATAGTAGTAAAAATATTGTCGGAGAGAAAATAAATGAAATTCATTATGTGTAATGCTGCAATTTAAATGAAAAGGTGTAGAGTGGGAAAGAGCATGGGAAGGGGGGAATGCATTAAAGTGAGTCTTTTCACGATTGTGTGCGCTACTGTGAAAGTGCATGATTAGCATATTGTGACTGGTACGGCCTACAACTGGTGGGTGATAATTTTGTGATTACTTTTTCTTTTTTGCAACAAACTCTACCTATTTTTAATCTCGAGAAACAGAAACAGGGCTGTTTTATTTTATTCCATGAGGATCTGTTATCGATGTTTCTTGTCGTTATAAGTTGATTATAATTTCTGCCACTAAGCATCTAGTTTTTACTGCTCATAAAACATATTAAACTGAACTCTTGAGTATCGGAGTAGAGGTAATTTGGGAATTTTAATTTCTGTCTTTTTTTTTAAAAAAAAAGGAAAAATCTCATGTCTGGTTTTCATAATTTATTTACAATAATTTCATTTATCGTATTTAATAATTTTTGATTCTAATTCCGATAATTTCTAATCAATTGTGTCCAGTCAGTTTAATCGTGATTATTCGAATAGTCATTACTAGGATCTTAATGTTATGATTGTAAGCTGTTATGCTGGAAGTAATTGTTATTGTAGTTTTCACAAGAGATTCCAATGTTCACTCCATATATGGAGCCACCAGCAGCAAATGGTGATGATGCGGAAACTCTTGGTGCAGAATTAGGTTATGCTAATAACTTTGGGTATTATGGACTTCAAGCTAACCTTTCACCTGCTCTCTGCGAACGAATGCTGTGCAGTGAACGAGCCAAGGAGTTACAGGAGGTTTGCTTATTAAGTTTATATGTTATTTCTTTTTGCATAATAATGTGAGTCTGTTTATTCATTTATATTTACAGTTCTGTCTCTATAATGCTGCAGTATTTTAATTAGAACGGATTAATTTTAAGTTTTCAGTCATACGACAGAATAAAATTAGGAAAAATTATATATAAACGTAATAACCTAGAACAGTTACTACTGAGAGAAATGAGTGATTTAGCAAAGGATTATTATGCAATTACCTATTCGGATGAGGTAAATGCAATGGACATATATTTTTTAAGTAGTTCTAGGTTTTTTAAGTCTTAAATAGTCCTAGGAATATAAATGATATAAGTTTATTAAATGTAATTGGTAGTGTTTTACGGTCGAAACTTGTCTAATTAATGTTTTCCTACCTCAAAGCTTCCTTAGTGAAACTGCTAATTACATGAGCTGGAAACAAATTGACCATTTAACCATTTGCATGATCTCTTTTTTTTATGTATTTTAAAAATTATCAAGACATTTAGAACTTTACCAATTTAGATACAAGTCGGTTTAGAGCAGCTAATATTAGAGCCAGGTGAATTTGAAACCTGGTCGAATGCTATCCGAGAGCGCACTACCAATCCATCGTTCAAAATTGACGCTTTGAAAATAGCGGTTGAAATGATTATTCAGTTGGTAAGCATATGCTACTTTTTCCGTTAAAATTGAAATAAGATGGTTTCGGTGTGAGGAAATAATATTTGGGAAATGGCGAATGACAAAATGATGTGATCACTACAAAGCAAGACTGAAAGGAAGATTTTGGACTTTCATGATTGTAGTTTGATGAAATGGGGATGTCTTTCTTTTGAAGATAAGGTAGGTGGGAGGACAAATATGGGAAGCATTACGAAGACTTCAAAAGTGACTGTTTATCTCTGTGTATTATATTAGGATTCATAGAAATTAATAGTGCTCCATTCAGAAATATATAATTTACTAAGAAATTTCTGTAAATTATTAAACCGGAATTTGTTGTATTTAGTGAAGAGTTCATGAACAAAGGATGAGCATTTTCAGCGTATGGCTTAAATTTGATTTTATAATTTATAGGCAGCTTTTACTTCATCATCGCAAACGGTACAGTACAATTTGGCAAAGTTATGTTCATTTTTGTGTCATGACCTGCAAACTTTCCAAGATGATATGATTGCTAGCTTATTAAGCTTCCACGAAGAGCAAAGATCTAATCTCAGTGATCAGCAACGAAAGAATCTTTTGCTTTTTTTTGCAGAGATTTATGACAAACTAGAGTCGGTAAGTTTTCTTAAATTCTAATATTGCCTTATCATATATATATATATTTTTTTTTTCTTTTCATATCTAACTTTTTCCCAATATATATTTTTTTTCACCATTGGTACTAATATTTAAAGGAAGTCCTTATCGCTTCCTGTTTTTCACCTAAATTTGATTTTTTGTTTTGATTTCTGGTGGCTGTGATTTAGAAATGGAACAATTTCTTATCATATTTACTGTTAAAATTTGTATTTTTTAATATTGTTTTTTAATGAAATTCTTTTTCGACAACACAATATGAATTTTAGAAAAAAAGTTCACAGATGCAGGCTTTTGAGAACGCGCTACTGGACCAAATCAAAGAAGTCTTAGTAGCTGATCGTTTGGATGATTCGAAAGTTAAAGTAGTAGTAGAAGTGCTTAAGGTAATTTACTGCATTTCCCAAATTATGTTAATTTTTATTATGGTATTGATAAAAATTATAAAGTCAATTTGAATGTGACTTTTATGTATTGGAACTTCCATGAAATTTATTCCAGCTTACTGGTCGTTATTTGGATATTGATGAAGGAACCTCAAAAATTAACGAGATCCTCACACAGTTGAATGCTATTGCTAAAGCACATCCAGCTATCAGCGAGTAAGCAATAGTGTTATCAATGTAGTTTATATCTTGTATGTTCAAGCTTTTGTAAAATAGTGTGGTTTAATAATACCGACTGCTACATTTATAATCTTAGAAAAAGAGGTAATATCAAGCATAATAAGTTGTGTGATGTCGAAAATTTATAGATCAGGTTGATATCATTTATGTAAGCTACTAAAATTTCTAAACAGGTCGTTATTTACATGGTTGGAGTCGGTAGTACTTATAGAGCTAGGAAGAAACCTAAAATTGAGTGACCTAAAATGTCTTATCAGCGTGCTATTTTCTTGAGATGCGAAAATGATTAGTTCTTCACAGTTTCATTGCTGTTTGCCTCTTCCTTATTTCGTACTAAATCGCATTCGTACAGAGTGTTCTTTGCATCATCTGTGGAAAACCTAAAGGTGAAGGTCTATAGGTTTGACCTTTGAAGTACACTAATCTCGAACTGCTCTGGTTTTCAGTTCTGTGAAGGAGCGGATACTGAGTTTGAACACATGGCGTGAGAACAAATGGGATGCAAGGAATTTTCCAGCTAATAAAGAAGGAAAATTAACGACTGACGTAAGTGTTTATTCTTCAAATTTTTAGAAGATTATTATATTAGTATTTTTATATTGATTTCAAAAAAAATTTTTTTTTGATCTGTTCATTAAGTACCCGGAAGGCAATATCAAAAATTTTTTTTTTCTGAGGAAGTGAAGCTGGCATAAAATTGTAAAATTGTATTTCAGCAGGGTCGTAGAGAAAATGATCAAGGCTTAACACCATCTTGCTCATCCAGTTTCATTATTGGCCCTGATGGTCAGCCATTGACTGAAGAAGAGCGAGCCTTTCTCGAAGAAAGCTTTCGTAAACTGGATAATAATGACACGATGTTGGATAATGATGATGTGAGCGACGAATATGACGAATTTTTGTCGGCAGGTTTGAAGGATTTTTATTAACTTTGTATATTTATAAAAAATTTACTCTCGTATATTTATAGGCTAGAAAAAAAGGCTATTAATTTCTCTATTGCAGCTTTAATGTGTTTTTTTTTTTTTTTTTTAATTAGATTTTTATTCAGATAAAGATAAAAAATAAAAAAAAATAGCTAATTACAGTCGCTAATGAAGAAGCTAAAAAACGCGTGGCAGAAATGGAAATGGCTGAAATGGAAAAGCAAATGGCAAAAACTAGTTTAGACGGTCGGGGTGAAATCTCTTCAAATCGGAGTGAAAATGGCAAGGGTACGGCAAAAGAAAGAGGAAATGGAAAAAACTGATAATCAAGTTATGTCGGGAAATTCTTTAGAACACGGATGGATTGTAAGATAGTAATTTTTTGGGATTTAATAGAATGCTCTAATCATATCACTGGAATGAACTTTTGCTGAGATTTTCACTTGACTGAGTTGGTTTTCTAAAAATGCTTGGCTCAACTTATACTAATTTTTTAAGAAATTATTTCGAAAAGTGTTGCTATACACGGTCACTCTGTCTTATTATTGTTGTTGTTTTTCTTTTTTTTTTTTTCAGTTGGGAAGGCTATTTTTCATTTGATTTTCAAAACTAAGCTTTTATTTTGGTTAGAAAGTCCATTCATAACGGATTGAGAGTGTATTAGATTTTTTTTTTCAGATCATAAACTTTTCATGCTTTTATCTCCCATTGTTCTCCACAGTGTACGAGTTCCATGTTGCAAGTGTTGTAATTTTTTTAATCTCGGCAGTGGATATTATTTTTGATTTTTAAGCTTCTTTTTTTAAGGTCCTGCCAGTAGTGAATACAGCACGCTTAATAGATAAAATAGGTAGGAATAAAGGAATGCTTATTTTGTTCAGCAAAAGCATCATTTTATCTTTCATTTGTTAAGTAGTATCCTTTTAGAAGGTTGGTTATTTTTGTCGCGATAGAAACTACTGACATACATCTCCTATTATTAATCAAAAATTAATTGAAATTATGCAGTAAATAAACCAAATAAATTACGCTAATTTTTCCAAATTTATTTTATAAAGCTACTTGCTTTAACGCAGAAATTGCTTTGAAAGCTATAATAACAGTATTACTATGCATCCTGACTGTAAACTGCCAACAAAAGGATATTCATAATTTGATGTACGATAGATTTCCTCTTTTGGAATTTTATTGTTTTCAATGTATAATTAGTTCTCAAATGAATTTTTGCTATGTACATAATAGTACTTATTGGCGAAAAAGATGAGTGCATCAAGTACCTCGCGTGATGTCACATCACGCAATGTCGTTTTTTTCACTTTTTTCTTTTCATTCTTCTAAAAGTAACAGCTCTGAAAGTTATGTGCTCCTTTCCTGTATTGCATTTGATACATGCGCGCTTCACACGACGGTAAGACTGTGTAATTTCTTGATCCTCTCGTAAAATTTTATGGGCACTCTACATTCAGTTGAACTTCTGATATATCTCTTTTTGTTTTCTTCATCTAATGTATATCCGTTGTGAATAAATTATGACTGCAAAACCTTTTTATACGCATTAAATCTATTTACATTTTCTTATGTAGCAAACATTTCGTAGGATGTAACTCTTATGTAATGTAAAACTATATTTCAGTAAGAATTTATTTCATATGTTATTCTATTTCATCTACAGTTTATTCTCCCAGATTCTCTGGAAGCTTCACTTTTTTCTACCAAGATGAAAAATCACCAAAAATCTGATTTGGCTTAACAGTTTTTTTAGCTATGCCAAATTCGGTGGCATTATCCGCCATGCGCTTTGTCACGGCAACTAATTCTGGCAAATTTATATATTTTCCAACACCAGTACCATATTCCTTCGGTTTTGGGATTTGTGTTGCTACAGCTGGCTCACTTACTGTTGTTTCTGAAATTGGAAGTTACAGATTCCCACTTATCTATTTCATGCAAAAAGTTATCAAAGCATAAAATTTTGATACTTATTACAGGACAGTCCATCTGCAACGTAAAACGTAAAACAATTTCACCTAAACAATTCTCAATTCTGGAAATTTAATGCCTTACTCGAATTTGAAAGAGCTAGATTCATACCATTTCCTTGATTAGTTTTCGCTAAGCGAATATTTTCTCTTTCTTTCGCTACCGCTGCTTCAGCCTCTTCGAAAGGGTCAACAAAAATTTCTGAGTTAAGAAAAAGTACATCTGCCTGAAAAACAAGTGAATTTAACCTTTCACTGCTCAAATATACAAGACTCTCAAGTCTAAAATTAAAAACTTACAATTGGACGGCTGCCTTCATCAGTTTCTACCTTTTCGATAGCAGCCAATGTTCCGGTACCGCCCACGACACGTCCAAAAATGCTATGTTTACCATCTAGGTAACTGCATGATCGGAAAGTAATAAAGCTAAAAAAAGTATCATTGAAAACTATTCTGTAATAGGATAAACAGTTTATTCACAATGTTATTCGATGAAGTACGTAACATTTCTTAGACTTAAAGTATACAGTACATTAACAGAAATATTTTTCAAAAAATCACAACACTTACAACTGCGATTTATTCGTGTCCGTTCCCTGATTTGCCATACTTAATATACCACGTTGATTATGACTAAATGATCGTATGATTTCATCTTTAAAAGGCTTTCCCCAAATGGAATCACCCCCTTTGCCGGTACCTGTTGGATCACCTCCTTGCATCTAAATTATAAATTCTTCCGTATAAATTTATTTCATTTTATCCAATAATTTATAATTTATTTCCTAAAAGTTTTTCAGTGAGTAATAATTTGAAAATGATATCGCAGTGCTACTATAAGGATCTGATAATGAACTCAATATTTATAATAAAGATTTTGAAATTCACCATAAAATTCCGAATGACTCGATGGAACTTGGTATTATTGTAGTAACCATTTTTGCAATGCTTGATGAAATTTTCGCAAGCTCTTGGTACATCTTTGCAATACAGTTCAAGATTTATTGCACCATAATTAGTTATAATTCTTACATAACCATTCTTGTTCACTCTTGCATATCTGAAGAGTGAGAGAAGTATATCTGTATAGGATAAAAGCCACTACTATTAATATTCCAGAAAGTCTCTAAAACTTGTAAAAATCACGACAAACTATCATCACTCACAATTTTAGGAAATACAATATTTGAAAAAGCTTTTGTTTACTTGACGGTATCAGCATCAAGTACAGCTGCCTTCTGCTGTGTTATAGGCTCCATCATCGTAGATGTCAACCCAGCAGCTACACGACCTTGACTGTAATGTGCTGCATTAAGTTCATCTGCTTCTTCTTCTTCTGTTTTTTCAATTTTCTAAATGAATTTTGGATTTTAAAAACAGAATTTGGTTTTGAAAAAAAATGATCGAAATTGAAATTTGTGAAGTATCAATGCACATATAAGTTTTTTCTCACTTGAGATTTAAACTCGATTTCCCAATCAGTAGCACCATAGAACTATTAAGCGCAACCACTATCAATTTCAAGTTATAAAAGACCGCTTAAATTTACCGATGGAACATATTCTTTCGCTAGCTTTTCCAAAATTTCTTTAGTTTCATTATTCATTCGTCGGATATAAAATTTTGGATCTTCCATAGCTTTCTTTTCAGCTTCAATTTGAGACTTCGTTTTCAAATCCAATTTTACATGATGAAACTGTTCAATGTTAAACTTTTCTAAATGATTCGGATCCTTAAATAAGAACTTAAGGAAATCTATATAATGCATGGATAATGTTTTACTAAACAAAACTGTTTTCATAACTTCTACTTGAGTCTAATTCTTTACCTGATTGACCTCTTACAGCTTGCTGATATGAACTAACCAAGAAATTTCGAAGTACAAAAAATAACTTAGGAAATAATTTTAGTGAGAACCTAAACGTAAGTCACACGTGTTCAATTATGTCAAGTAATACGCGCTACATTATCATAAAAATATGGAATGAATTTAAAAGTTTCTATGCCTGCAGCGTCACGATATCCTTTCTTTGAAATGGTTCATCGGTCAGAAGATCTCTCAGATGTCCAGGTTTCAAGTTTAATTCTTCGATAGCCTCAAGAGAATATACATTTCCTGTTTGACAGATGGTCACAATATGACTTGTGGGTGTGAAGACACGAAAGGTAACTGGACATCGAAAATTACCTAAAATATAAAAAAAAAAAAATTTACAGCATAAGAATACAGAAGTATTCTAGCTGATTATCAATGCATTAAATAAATAACAAATATTACTCAAACGCAAAACATTTGCATATCAATTAGTGCGACATCTATGACTATTTCCTTGTAACTTCCCTTTCTTTTGAATGATTTGAAATTCTCATAAATATGAAAAAGTACATTCACACTCACAATAATTGATTAGTGAAAACTTAGATGTGAAGCATGGCAAGAACTACAAATCATTTCCTAATATGAACTTCAAAAAAATAAGCTATTTTCAACTGATAGTCAAAGCAAATAATGATCAAAAATAATCTTTACCATCACTGTCTTTGTCGAATTTTAGATGAATCAATTCTTTCGCTGTCATTTTTTTGCCAGTTACTGGATTAACACCATACTTTTTTAGATAGGGAATAATTTGTCTGGAAAAGTTTTTTATCAAGAAATTACAGAGTTGCAAAGGAAAAACGAACTTCCTTTCTTGTATTTCTCTTCTTTTCACTACTTGTTTGTTTGTAAATGTTTAGAAGTAGTAAGTAAACACAAAGAAGTATGCAAATCTTGTGCACGGCTAAAATAAATAGAGCAGAGAAAAAGTCTTCGGAATAAAGGTGATTGAATGAAAAAACATGAGTGGCTTATTTTGCAAAATTTTACCTTCAACAAGAATTTGATCAAAAATTCTATATTTGAAAATTATTAGAAAAGAATAGAAATCTTAATCCATACGTCAAGTCAAAAATAATTCCATCTCGTGAACAAACAGGATCCTCAAACGGTAGTAATGATAGAGAACAATGCGTAATAGGCAAACGTTTGAACAGTGCACGTTGCATTCGCTTACCAGTATCTGTAAGATTTTTTTATAAACTTAAAGAGAACACTAAAATATTCATAGAAATTTTTTACCAATTCAATATATTATTAAAATTAAAAAGTATTTATGAAATCCTTTCCTTTTTTTTGATCATAACGTTAACTTCGAGTAAAATTTCACGCCGCCCAAACATTGAGCATCAATATGAAATCAACTGAAGTAAATCAATCCATTTTCATTATTCATCAACTTCTTATAGAAAAATATACCATCCTTGTGACCGCCATAAGTTTCTTTCCATTCGGTAGTTGTCAAATACCTAGAAAAAAAGTTCCTCGTATTCCCAGTTAAAAGTTGGAGTAGAAAAAAGGCAGAACATTTTATTTAGAAATAATATGAAAGAAAAAAAAAAAAAAAAACACAACTGGAAATACAGAAATAAAAAACAATTTAATCAAATTAATTAAAATACTGCACTGTTCCTTCATTCTTGTATAATTCATCTCGTCACTGTGTAATTCGGTACTTTTAAAAACATTAAATTTCTCTCTACTTCTTCCAATTATTTTCTTTTTGCTTTTCATAACTGCTTGGTTGAGAAATATTAGCACAGAAATTCTTACGTTGAAAAGATGAATAAAATAAATTCTTCACCATGCAAAAAAAAAGGATACGGAGATTGTCAAATTTTAAACTTCATATAAAATAAATTCAACGATTACCCCAAATTTATTTTCAGTTAATAAAATTTGATTGAAAACCAACTTACAGCTTATCTTTCTGATGTTGCTTCTTCCCCATGTCTAAAAAATTTCAAAACGAATAAATCCAATTGATAGAATTAAATTTTTGCAAATTAGCTAATGTTAATATCTTATTACAAATGTGTTTTAAATCTAACTCATAAACCTAACATTCCAGCATTTTTATCAATCTAACCAAATTCACCTCTTTAACTTCTCACAATAATTGCTGAAACTTTTGAAAATCTTACTAAGTCATTGTCACTAATTCATCATAATCAAAATTTGTCAGTTAAATTATCAACAGCAATATTATAAACTTACCTACTACCAACCCTAACACAAAACTCCCAAAATATTACGGAGAAGCGCAAATTAACTGAGCGCAAAATGACCACATATAGCAAAGCTAACCATAGCTAGGAGCGTTATGCAACTTTCTTGTTCTTCGGAGAACTTGTCAGCAAAGAATGGTGACAATAAGAAAGGTAGACAGTTCCAAATGTACTTTTTTCATTCTACAATGATTTTTAGCTTTAATGAAAAATCTTTTAAAACAAAAATTGTTTAACGTTCGAATAGTTTAAAGTCTAAAATACATCCATTAAAATTATATGTAATTTAGAATTAATTTGATTTATCAAATTTAAATTATGCATATGTTATTATTTTTGACAATTTCTGTGCAAGTTTATCTGTTTGTTTGGTTTATTCATATTAATTTACTTTTTAATTTTCAAAAAAATCAGTTCATTATCAATCATTGATTTCTTTTTCTTAAATCTGATCATATAATGAAAGATTAGAAAATTTCTGATGATTTTTTTTCCGCCAATTTTTAGAAATTTAAAAATAATTCGTTGAAAATAATTCAATTAGATGTCTTAAAATAAGTGCAGATAAAAATATTTCAATTTATCACAAACTAGGAGAATACTATTTTTCTTTATTAATTTTTTTTTGTCAGCAATTTTTTATCAATTGTCCAAATTCTGATTTCTATAAAAAATACGAATAATTCTTCATGCAAGATTTACAAATATGATAATTGATAGGAAATCTAGAAAATAAATGATTGCAATGCTAGTGATAACACTGGTGATAAAAGATGTGAAATGCAATGTTGGCAGTAATAACTTTTCTCAAATATTTTGAGATATTTTTTAATGGCAAATTTTAAATTATTATTTCAATTTTAAATGAAACAGATAAATTGAAGTAAATTAAATTTCTGTTCGTATTCTTAAGTATTGTCATTTTAATTACAAGGATTGAACAAATTTATGATTATTACTTATTGATAATTATCTCTCATTGATAGTTTGTAGAATAATACAATAAAGTTAGTTTAAAAATTTGTTAATTTATCAATCTTCCATTATTGCAGCAATTAATACACATAAAGTATATGAAAAAAAAAAAAAAAAACTTTTTTCTTCATTCAGTGCAGTAAACTGCAGAATTTTTTTTCATTAATTTGTTAATTTTTAATTGAAAATAAAACGAAAAAAAAAAAGAAAAAGGAAAATTTGTTAAAATGAGTAATAAAAATTATCAATAAAAATGATATTTAAAGGAAAAAAAAAAAGATATTTAAAAAGAAAAATAGTCAACAAATAGTGATAATACATCAAAATGAGTATTTAAAAAAAAGGGAAAAAAATGATACATTTGAAAAAAAAAAAACTTATTAGAATATTTTGTAATATCACTAAATAAAAATATTTTCATTCTCAAAAAAGCAAAAAAAAAAAAATTAAAATTAAAAAATACAGCACCAATAATAATTGTCATTGATATCATTATCACTTATTCATTCTTTCTTAACATTTTGGCTTATATCCTATTGGATAGAATTGTGCTTTCCATTCATGAAACTTTCTCTGCAATTTGATAGTTTTATAAATTAAATTTTTAAATCGATTAATTATCAACTAATATTTCATAAATTATGTTCTCTTTGTTTCATTTTATTAATTACTCATGATATTTCATTAATATTTCTTTAATTATTAATAATGTTAAAAGTTTCAGAAAAGAAAATTATATCTATTACTAATCTCATTTGATTAACATATGTTAAGAGTTAATTTCAACTACTCAATACAAAATACTATGAGCTTTTATTTCAATAATAAAAATTAAAAATTTTAACTCGAAATTCCTCCTCTTTCTTTTGCATATCTTCATTAGCAATTTTTCGTGCTAACATTTGCCTTTTCCATATTGGCAACGGCTTTGTTGTTCCATTAATGAATTCTGGTACTTGATTAATGTATTTATCTGGTGTACATTCCTTTTTCATCATTTCAATATCAATTTCCAGCTGTAATTTTAGAAATAAAAATTAAAAGTTAAATTAAAAATTTTACGAAATTATTTTTTTTAGCAATAAAAGAATATGAATCGTCTTGACATTTTTAAAATTCTTTTCGTCTAAAGTGATATTGGAATGCGTTAAGCAGAATTCCATCATACTTTTGTTTTTGTTCCTTTTTTTTTTTATTTCTAAATTCCTGGAATAAATAAAAACGATATTGTGACAATAAGATACACTAGAATATTTGCATCTTATTTGAATTTGTTACGTATGAATTTTGCAGATTACTAAAATTTCATCACTAAAATTTTTTACTAAATTTATTTTAACATTCTTATTAAAGATATTAAACAAAAAATAAATTGTTCTAACAACAAACCAATTTTTGCTGTTCATTTATTAAATTCTTTTGTTTTAATTTATAATCTTTCAGTGACATCATACCATTCGGTAATTGTTTCAATTCTAAAAGCATTTTATGCTAAATTTCATTTAACTGAATTTCTATCTCAATTTTTTTTGATAATGGATATAATTTTGATTGAAATGCTAAATTACATAAAGTACAAAAAAGAAATAAGCGAAATATTTTACAACAAATGTAATATAAATCTTAGCCATTTAATAAACTATAATCAAAAATTCATTGTAATATACAATTTGCATAACTTTTGCTCTCTACTTTTGCCTACTAATAAAATAATATATGTAAAGATTTATCACTTATCATCTCTGATTTTATCAGTAATAAAATCATACATTATCAATTATTTTCGCAATTTGTATCTCTTATCTAAACTATTATAGCTTTAAAAAAAGACTTTATTTTGATGAAAAAAGTTAGCAATTTAAAAAAAAAAATAAAATAAAATAACAAACCTTGAATCAATTGATCACTGATCGAAATAGTTGTCTTATTGTTATTTGATTTTTTTTCATATTCTCGTCTTTTGTCTTTGTTTTTATATGCATTTCGTAAATTATCTATAATAATTCTAGAAATAAATTTATCTTTTGATATACGTGAATTAATGATTTGTTTTTTTTTTTTTTTTTTTTGGTAATGAATGGAATTTTTCAATAGTTAAAATTGTTAAAAATAAAAATTACAGTTCATCACTTTTTTTCTTAGCATAGTTAGATTATAAGGGGAATTTGAAAAGACTTTGAAATGAAATAATCAAATTTTTTTTACCATATTCACGGGCTGAAGAATATTTTAAATCATCCAAAAGATCGTTTGATATTGATGTAATTTTCTGCAAGCAAATCAATTTATCATTCAACTCTCTCTTATCATTAATACTTTTTTTCCCTGTTTACTTCTTTATAGGATGTTTTTTTAATAGAAAATTAAAAGCAAGTGAAATTGAAAAGAAAACAAAGGTAATAACATAAATTGTTTCCAATAAGCTAATTCTAATTTTAGAAAATTAAAACATTCTCAATAAATTAATACTTATTGATATTAAACGGTTGTTTACACTTAAAACTCATAGTTACACTGAATAGAAAGAGAAGTCAAAGGGATTTTTTTTAATTTCCATTAAATTTATTTGTGTAATTTCTATATTTTATTCATCATATAATATATATTTACCAATAATCAATGATAATTTGATAATTTTTGATCAATGATAAATTGAATTTGGAAAGAAAAAGAGAATAAAGTAAAAAATTTTTACAAAATACACTGCAGAAGTTTATTAAATTAAAAAAAAAAAAATTACTTCTGAATTTTGCTGTGTTTTGTTATCACTGTTCAATGATATATTGTCCGATTCAATCAAAATTTCTTTCACAATTTCATTAGCATTATGTGGATGACAAATATCTAAAATTTAAGAGAAAAATTAAAATAAAATGATTAAAATTTTTTTTTCTTCTTTTTTTTAGAATAATTTTTATTTTCATTTCTATTACTTATCTACAAAATTTTGCTAATTTTCTCACATAAACATATGTAAAAATGTTACATTTGTAATATCGATAAATGATAACGATTTTTTAAGCAAAACATAATAATTAAAAAGTTATTATTTTAATAAAAAAAAAATATTTCAGAATTGTTGAAATAGTTTTGAGAATTAAATCGTCACAAATAATTAATTCAGTAAATGCATTTTTTCACGAAATAGCTAAATATATTGATTATTAACTTTAAACATATCAAAAAAAAAAAGATTGGTTTGATAAGTTTCAAACAAAACAAAACAAAAAAAGAAAAAAAATCACTCTTATATTATTTATTTTCCATTAACGATCGCTATTGAATGAATTAATTCAATAAAAATCATTCAATGTATTATTTAATAATAAAAGTAATTGTGAATTTTATTGATGTAATTATGATATTGATAATTTAATTCAACATTTGAATTATTTGAAATCAAAAAAGATTTCAGTGACTTTTTTTGAAGTGATTATTTTTTGAAAATTTCGAATAATTTTTGATGGTTTTGATAATTTCCATTTAAGTGGTTCATTTTTCTTTTTTTTTTTTTTTTTTTTTTAGTAAGTATCATCACATTTTCTTTTAATTTCAATTTTAATTTACTACATATTGTACTTTTTTTAATGAATTTCTAATTTGTTGCTATTTTAACTTATACTTTTTAACAACTTTTTGTTTTCTTTTTCTCAACAATTTCTTTTATCTCTGTGTCATTTCTTAAAACATTACTGATATGATTCGATGGTTTTTATTTAACTTTTTCATTGCATTAATTAAATTTATTTTGAAGAAATAATAATGTAAGGGTAAATTATCTTTAGTAGAATTGGATAAATTCCTGGAATCAACACTTCTCTCTTCCAAATAATTCAATTTCTTATTGTCATTGAAATTACTCCTGTTATAGGAACCATAATGTAACAACGATGGATTGTCAAGAATAATATGCGATCGACGAGTGGGAAAAACAAGTATTCCGAGTGAATGATTTTGCATTTGCTAAAATTAATTAATTAATTAAAATACTGACAAATAGATGATGAAATAATATATCAAGAATTTGCGCAGATATACAAACTTATTTGAATAATAATTTATGTGCATAAGTAGAAGAAATGGTTTGTTACTTTATTTTAATAATACTTAATTTAATTCATAGACATATTATAAGTAGAAGAAAAAGTTTGTTTAATAATTATTAATAATTGCCTATATATATGTAATGATTATATATAATGATAAATAGTTTAACCTTATCAATGCATGTTAAGGATAATTCATAAGGATGGAATACTTAACTTAATAATACTTAACATACAGACACACACACACACATACACATGCACACACATACCACATGCATAATACACATATATATGTATATATAGCGATGATGGTGAAATGAACAAATTAGTCATTCTTTTGAAAGTTTTGAAAAAAGGTTTGCAAAAATTGATGTGAGGGATGAGAGAGTGATACATTCAGATATTATTGTTCCAAATTTAATAATCTGATTGTTATCGATTGTATACGGTATGAGAAAGAAGGACATAGCATGAATAAGTGAAAGAGAAGGTTTTTGCCTTGATGGGTAATAATTATTAGAATAATGAAATGATAGAACCTTATCAATGTATGTTGATGATAACATTTTGATATCATTTCACTTTCTATTCCATTTTCTGTTCACATGTAAACATTTGGAAATTGAAGATTAATGATTTAGAGAATGATAGAATGACAGTATTTGATGCGTAATATCATAACAAATAAGTCAAAGATTGCTTTTCTTTGTTATATTAAATTGTATGATATGTATTTCTTAGAATAATGCTTTAATTAATACAAACTATTTAAACTTTAAAATTTTTAATTAAATTGATATGGATAAACTAATATTAATTATTATTGTCATTACAATTATTACTAAGAAAATTAATTAAGTGACTTAACATCCATTTTGTTAGTTAATTATTAGTTATATTTTACTAATTATATTATGATCATATCAGTCTTATTAATTAAATTATAATCGTTACTATCAATAATCATTATTCTTAATGATTAATATTTTTACAAAACTTTCACTTATTTCATAAAAAATTTCACAAACTATAAATAAGTCAAAAAGTGGAGATAGAAGAAGAAATGAGAATAATTTCACTCACATCAACAAATCTAAATTTAAAATATTGATCTATTCATTCGTCATCTTTGATTCTTTATCAAAATAAATCCATTAAATTTATCAATGTTAACAGAAATTGAAATCAACAACATCATACAAAAGAAAAACGAAAGAGAGAAAAAAAGAAGGAAGAAAGAATAAAGAATACAGAAATGATAAGATGAGAATGAGAAAAGAACATAGTATTATAAATGAAATAAGCCAACAATAAAATTGAAATTGGCAAACAAATACGGAAAGTGGCAAAAACGAAGGCAAAGTATTGTACAGGTAAAAAAGTTCCTATCAGCAAGGTGGAAAATTTATTCAGTAAATTTTGATAAATGCAAAAAAAATCAAATGGTAGCATAGGAAAATATTTGACAAACAAACGATTGTTAATTGTACATTTTTGCTTTACCTGTTTGTATCATTCCTTTCTAACGTTATTACAGTGATATGATAGCGAGAAAAAGAAATGCATTTTTATAGATTATCACTAGATAATACTATCATTGATAATGAATACATAGTTTTCTATGATTTATCAGTCATTGATTATATATTGTCACTAACTAGTGGTAACAGATGTGTGTTTTCCTAAGATTTATTAATTATTGATCATTAGTCATAAATAATATTAATAAAAATGAAACGTTAAACAGATCAAAAATGAAATAGATGTAAATATGTGACAACAGTAATTCGTTTTTCAATTATCAATATCACGAATAGATTATTGCTAGCTAGGAATGGATTAGAAATTGAAGTAGATTGTACTAATTAATCGAATTGAATTTTTTGTAATTAAAAAAAACGAACAAACAAGGAAACATTAATTATTGATTATTAAATATTTAACTTCGATTGTTAGATTAATAAAGATTACATGAGTTGAAATATTTTTCATTCTTAATTTTTGCTAAATATTTATTCAATGAATGATAAAAGACTGATATTTGTCAATAAAATAGTGAAAGAGTTTAATGTCATTTACATCATTTAATAAACAAATTATCAAATTTTATCATTCGATTAAAACTTTATCATTCAGTTACTTATCCTACGGATCAACTGTATTCTTATATAATACGTATCGTTTATTTACTACTAACTTAGTTTCGACGTTATTTTTTTAACAAAATAATTAATAAAGTATATATTTACTATTAAATTTATTTTACAACATTAATTAAATTAAAGTAATTTCTTCTTTTTCTTAAAAAAAAAAAGAATATTTATTATGGCAAATTATGATCCAAATTGAATTATTAACAAATTTATTTTTGTGATCAAATTGCATTAGATTATTTTTTTCTTTTTTTTCAAAAATCTTTGGCAATTCAAATGTAAATTAAATGAATAATAATTTGGATTTTATAATTAGTTTTTTGCTTTAAAGAAACTTTTAATTAAATATTTATATAAATAGCATAGGCAATAAATCATCTATTATTAGTATTCAAGTATTTTACTCATGCTATTACAGTTTGTCATAAATTTAAATTAATATTTTTCAACCATACATTGTTACATTTAAACAATCATACCATTAAAAAAATTACTGTTAAAATTGAAATGATTTTAATTTTAATATATAATTATTACATTTCATTAATGCAATTAATTCATATATTTAATATACATAATTAACATACAATTAATAATTAATATACACAATACGTTGTAATTATCTATTATTTGTTAATTGCTGCCCAGATTACGCTATACTTCCCTGATCCCAGTTTTTTTCTTTTTTTATTATTATTAAAAACTATATTATGACTTTATCGCTTTTTATTCCATAACAAAATACTATTTTAAAAATGAATTAATCATATTATGTTTTTATCATCATCATTAATCAGTTGTTAATAATAATTATTAAAAGTTGTTATCAATTATCAGTTAAATGATATTGATTATCATTAATGCTATTGAGTTGTAAATACTCGTATTTGTCATGAAACGAGTATTATAGATACGATAGTAACATATTATCTGCTCATTGCTACTGTTCCGTGTTCACGTGGATTACTTTGCACGTGGGTTACTTTAACGTTAAGTATTTAATTTATTGTAGCTGGTGTTTAAAAGTAATGTAAGTCTTTGATATCTGATTGAACCGAAATTTCGATATGTTTATTGCATCAGAAATATATTAATGTGAAAATTTTTCATCACTTCATATGAAACGTATAGTTTCACTGAAATATATGAAAGTTTCACAGACAGTTATAAAGTTTTGTCTTCCTTTTTCTTAATATAAAACCTTCTGATATATTATTCTTCTTTATCCATTTAATTAAATATTTTCCATGTAAGCATATTTGAAAGAACATTTTATTGCTTTTTTTTTTTTAAAGAAATTTAATAAGCAATGAAGTGTATACATTTGCGTTTGTAAGTCTTTAACACGTAATACGTAAAGTTCCCATTTTGCTGAATTAAAAAATGCTTAGCAATTAGAGTCGATTTTGCCGTTATAAATTCATGTATTCAGAGTGCAAATTCACGCATGCACTTATTTAACCTGTTTTTCTTATTATTTTCGACGATTAACTATGACTGTAAGTGTCACTTTACAGCTACAGCACTCCACGTTTGTTTTTATTCCACGTGTTATCACAACATGGGAGTTCTCCGCCAAAAATCAGGTTTGCTGATGACGGGTTATGTTACGTTGGATGAGTAAGCGCTTTTTTTTTTTTTCTTTACGAAACACTTTAGTAGAATGATTCAATGCATTTTTCAGTTATTATACTTATTGTAAGATTTGATGGTTTTCAAGTGGTGTTTAATCAGGAGGTCAACTGTGTTAGTGGAGAAATTGAAAAAGCCGTTTTTCAGTTACCTACTTGATGATGGAAGTGAGGATGAAATTCATTCCGAAAATGTTATCAGCGAAAATGTGACGCAGAGCTCTACATCCCATCGAAGAAGGCAAAAAATAAGTTTTTCTACCTGGTTTAAGTTTAAAATTGATGAAATGTTTCATTGGTTAATTTCTGGGACTCATAGACTTATCGATTAAGGGAGATGGAATTCTGTCGCTGTCACAACTCCTTTAATAAAAAGGTTCGAGTTACGAAAGATGTTGATGAATTCTTTTTTTTTTTCAGGATGGACGTAATCTAAAGAAGACAAAGTGGTTAAGGGATATGACAGGTGATTTAAACATGGTAAGAAAGGGACAGATGGGTGCACGGAAGCAACGAAGATATGAGAATGGTTTTTTTCTTTTTTCAAAATATTCGTATTGAACATCGTGCTTGAACTATTCAACAAAGCGTAGTTATTGATTGCGTTGTTTGTAATGTGTAAAAAGATGAGTAACTGATTTGTAAGAGTTAAATAATAGTTGAGTAACTTCTTACTAAAGCATGCTTGTATAACTTTATTAACGAATAAAATTAATGGAATTAGTGACTCGTTTTAAAACACTATGAACATATATTTCCAAATATTTCCAAGTCTTAATTTTTTTTTTCTTGTAGCACGGCTTTTATATTCGATGGCGGATGCGGAAGATATCTGCGAAGATTATTCTGATATCTTACACTCAACAGTTACAGCTCTTTCAAAGCTGTTCATCGAAGATGGGAATATGCAGGTGAAATTCGCGATCTTAAATAGTTTGGTTCGTTCAGCCTTTAGAATCTTAGCATAGCAGTTTCATGAACTGGTATGAAAAGAAAAACTCTTCAGGCTTGGAATACTTTTATTGAAAAGAATGAAGAAGAACAAAGAGAATTTTTGAAAAGTTGTGAAGCAGACGAAACACATGAACATTGCTCTTGCTCTGATGGCTCTTATTCCCAAGTATTTGATAACTGTGAACAACAGGCTTCTGATAGTTCGTTTCTGATATATCTGTTTGTAGAATGTGATTTATTGCTTGTAGGAATACGTTTGCTATCAAGAATCCTATAGGCTATGTATAGATATTAAAATTCCCTTATCAAGTAAAAATTTAGGCCATCCATTACATTCAGCAAAAGCTTCGTTTTCGCGTTTGAATCGACGATTCAGAATGATATTAAGACATAAAACACTACCACTGGTATGTATATTTCGCTTTTGTAAATTTGAAATATGGAGTTTATGTATCACACTTAGGGCTATATTCGATTGTCCTTTTTATGTTTCTTTTTTATACCGTTAGATGTTTTAATATGTCACCATTTTGTCCGCAGCTTAATCTTGATTACAGGAATTTATGGCTGTAAATGAAAAAGAAATGAGAAAATTTTTCCATAGTAATGTATTACCAATATCGGAATGGTCTTCATCTGTCCTACCACGTTTGCAGCGTCTTATCATACATGCGCTATCGCAATATCTTTCTCTTATCTCGAAAAGTAATTTTCTCGATAGAATTTTTGTAGAATAGGAGTTTGTCTAGATTATCTCTGAAAAACATCTGATGATTTACATGCTTTCTTTTCTTTTCTTCATATTGCCTAAAATGATTTGACATTATTGTGATAATCGAGTTTGAATCCAATTTTATGACAACACATCAATTAAAAATTACTGAAATCGTATAATTAATATCATTTTAATAATTAAAACAAATTCTATAAAATAGTCTCTTAATTAAGGCGTAGTTGTTGGTAATGGTGATGAGAAGCTTGTCAAAGTTCGCAATAAATACTGCTCATTCCGGCCACCTTCGGAAACATTGGTTGATTATTTGAAACGAATACACGGAGCTGATAACGCTGGAAAAGTTTCTTGATGTAAATTTTCAATATTTCGGATCCGATTTCTTGGAATTTGTGATAGGCTCAGCAAGCAGACTGATTTGTTTGCTTTTGTTCTTTACCTTACTTGTTTATCTTCGGGGTGAATTGGAGCTACGTTTGGCATAATAATTTTTGTTAATTTGGATAAGGGACCTATTGTAAAAAAAATCATGAAAGTCACACTGAATTGCATTTTCTATAACTGTTTAATGATTTTGGAAATATTTCTAGTCGATTTGAAAGCAGTTATTGTTCAGCTTTTGAAATGTGCCAAAAGACATTCATTTTTTCAGTGCCGAGTAATTCCATGATGTGTTTACTAAGTTTTTTATTTTTTGCTGAAGATTTTCAGCTTGATTTTCAAACTCTTTTTGTACTTTTCTCAATTTCTTGTTTGCCGAAAGTTTTAAATTCAATATTAATTCAGGAGCTGAGTTGGCAAGAATTTGAAAATTTCGGGAAAAATGTATATTTTTTGCTACTTCTATACATATTAATAACAGAAATCTGTCTATATATATATATTAATAACAACACAACGATGAAATAATAGCTTATTATTTCATCGTTGTGTTGTACTTTTATACTTATTCCTAGAGATTGTTTCATTTCTTCTTTTTTGAAATGCGGTTATGTTTCAAAAAAGTAGTGGAAACAACTTCACTTTTTCTTGGTTAGTATTCAAGTGCAAGAACACTATGTAGGATAACGCTTTCCGTTTAAAAACGTTTCGACATTAGACTTTAGTCTCTGTAATCATTGATGAAAAAGCGTAAAAATAATTAGAAAACACTGAGAATACTACATGAATATCAAAAGTATATTTACGTTTTCGAGACTTTGGATATAATAGTAATAGACTGAAAACTGTCTTAGTTCACTTTATTAGATATGCATGTTACTGAGAAGTATGGTTTGATTTTTTCAAACAAACAAAATGGAAATTCAAGTTACCGTTGGTTTATAACGCGAATTAGTTTTATTCTTCAAAGAATGGAGGAAAGAGAAAGTTTTTAGTTTGTACTCCTACCTCTATTTACTCTTGCATCTATAAGTGAGTTTAAATGTTTTTCTATTTCTTCTATCTTTGACTTTGATTTTTATTATGGATGTCATAGTGGAATGTCATAAACGATACACTGCAATACCATAAAATTACACTTCTATTTCTTCGATAGTAATAAGTGAAGGGAAGATATGACTCCTCGGATTTTTGTATTTAAAAATATGTTGGATGAGAAAGATGAATGGTAAGAAAGGTTAAATTCTGAGATCTACAAGACGGATGAGTATTTGTTAATTATCCACTTATATGTTAGCAAAGTAGAATAATGAATTCTTTACTGAGAAATCAATATTAGCATCGAAATCGATGGATGCAAGGAGGAGGACTGTTTTTAACTAAGAATATATAGTATACTTTGTTTTCCTGTAATATACTTTGAAAGGTAATAAGCAGAATATTAAACGACATAGCAATAATAAGCTAGAATTTTAAATTTAACCAATTAATATAAATTTTATTTCTTTAAACAAAATGAATATGCACTAGTTTCTTATTGCAGTTTGATGTGTTTAGCGTAGTTTTTTGTTTGTTTCAAATTAGTTGAAGCTTCGGGTGATATTTTTTGTGCTAAGTTGAAGTTATCACGATAATTTTTGAGTTATATACTAATTTAAAACAAATGCTTACAGTTTTACTAAGGTAAATTTTATTTACCGATAGTGAATACTTAAATGAAAATGTGAGTTAAATTTGTTAACGTTCATAACGTTAATAGTGATGGAAATGTTGACACTGTTGCGTTATTACAGATATGATTCATTGGTATCACAACTTACTATTCAGATTTATAGATTCCTTTTTTTTCTTTGATTAACAAGAAATACGACGAAATTTTTTTGGCATAAAGGTTGATTTTTTTTTGTTTGCAGATTAGTATTTACTTAATGTCTTTTATATGTTTTACTAGATGTTAGGTATTGCTGTAATTTAGTACTAAACATTTAGATCTAAAAATATTTAACATCGAACAGACTGAGAACATGCGGTACTATCAGATTAATATGGTTATCATTTTTCATGCTATTTTTTTTATCAGGCAATTGGTAATTACAAAATGAATGCAAAGTTAACGGATTTTGAAGCGGGATAATATATGAGCTTATAACAGGTGAAGTTAGAATCATATTAATTTTAAAATAACTTTAATTAATTAGTCTTAAATACTTTAATTAGCATATATCTGTGTTTGTTTCAGTAATATCAGTCAAGATCATTACAGAAGCATTGATACTTATATAATTATGAATATTTTGTATTGGTGAAGAGAAATTTTGCTGGAATAAGATGGATATATCAGTGGAACATACACTAACTAACGATATAGTTCGGAGTGTTATCTTATTTGTTTGTATCAAGAATATCGCATTAGGTCAAGTATTTATCAAAAAAGGAAATGGAAGTAAAAGAAAAAGAAAAAATTTGGTGAAACGTATAAATCATATGAACTTATTAGATATTCTATGATGAATTTGGTTTTTTTTTTATTTTTAGATGATAAGAAGAGAGAGTATTTCGACCCATTTTTCTGCCATGAATCCGGTTAATGATGTAATGAATTGGGTGTATTATTATGAGAAGTACACTAAGTATGCCTTGTTGTTGTTTTTTGGACTTTGCACTTTGTACCACTTTGTATCACGTTCAATGGCACTAACTCGTTCAACAACTCATTTCAGTTTCATTAAATGGTAAATTATTGCATGACTCTGGATTGGTATTTCGGTGTTATTACTGATATTTGATAATATTATAAAATTTTTTTAATATTAGATGTTATATCATTTATTGCTTTCGTTCATTGCAAAATTGTAAATTTAATAAGCATAATTCTTTTATTTCTATACGTGCATTGTGAAGTAAAGCTCTTTATCATAAGAAATATTTTTGCAAACGTTTACTTTTAATGTGAATTTTAAACTTTCTTCTTTTCATCAAAAATTTATCTTTTATTCATGACTGTAATGAGGATTGTATTTGATAAAAATCTATGTTGCATTCCCAGATATCACAAACATTTAATGATTTTAATATTAACCAAGTTTTGCAGGATAGAAGTTTTAATGAAGAGATTTATTTAATCATTTTTAGGACTTTACAGTCAGTTCATGGAATTAAAGGAAGCAATGGCAGAAGCGCACAGTATTGCTGCGCTGTCTGTTTCGCTAACGCATGACGGCATATCCGTATCATACGATCAAGAATTACTTAATGAAATTTTGCATTCATTCTTTCGAGCTTACAAAAAACGTGTTGCACGTTTTAAGGTATGCCAATTTTTCATGAATTAAGCAATGTTTTTTTTTTTTTTTTTTTAAATAGAAGCAAATTTCTATTAAAATTTAGGTGAATTTGACAATTTAAATGACACTGTAATTCTTAATTATTCGTTGAAATTACGAGGAATTTTGAAAGTAACGCTTTTATAAATAAAATTAGTTATAATTTTATGAAAGTACTCATAGATATTTGTATTTTATTGTATAATCTATTTCAAAGATACTGTATAACCTATTTAAAAAATTTTTTTACTTATCCTTGCTAACCGTTTGTTATGTTGAACAGGTTTGTTGAAGAACAAAGACTGATTTTAGAATGTGTTGATTATCAAAGCATATAATATTTTATCAATGATTCATTTACAAAATATATTTTTATTGTCTCTGTTTCCTTCCATTTATTAAACTAAATTATAAAATATTACCTAATTAAATTAGAAAGTATTATTTAATTGCAGAATAACTTTTATAACGGTATCTTCCCAGCAAATGCTTATACAATGTGTATAGTTATGTTTATAGTCAGTTTTTTATCAACTTTTCATTATGATTTTTCATTTGGTACACTATATTTACTGCGATATTATATCTTCTACTCATTTTTTGGGTAACTTTTTTTTCCGATTTCTTTTCGTTCCTTTCAAATTACCATTATAGCATACTTTTTGTTTTTACTGAAACTGCAGCTTTAAATTAAATTTGTCAGGCATTAATGACAGCAAGATTGGTAAAGGAGTTTCTGGTTTTTATGAAATGATTAAAAATCATGTTGCCAAAGTTTCAATTTGAAATTTTTGATTATTGCAAGTGAAGCATAATTAAATACAATATTTTTTAATATTTGATTGTAACACTTTTTGTTCGATATTAATTTTTTTACTATACTGTTCTATCTTATAACATGATATAATTCTTGTTTTTCCGTGGAGTCTTAATCTTCCAGTCTTAATACTTTCAAGTAATCCAGGATAAGCAAATCTAAGATAGATGAAATAGCTAGCTAATTTTTCTGTATTTTTTTTCAATGAATACTTTATTTCTAAAAGATACCATCATTATTTATTTTTATAGCAGTGGTGTGTTTACTCAAGTATTCTCGTTAATGCTATATGGAATTTTTGTATGGTTTGTGATAATTCAATTCATCCGGTTAAGTCTGAAATGTTTTTTGCTCTATAAAGGTTGGATGTTTGAAAATCCTCATTTACGACCACTTTCAAAATCATCAAAGTTGTGGTTGGTAAGCTAATGCTTTTCTTCTTTGTATCATAATTTCTTGTTTTTGACAATGACTTGGTAATTTCCGTGTGGTTTTAGTACTAAGTTTTTTTTTTTTTTTTTTATAAACAATACGTTGTTGTCTACATTTCGAAGCTCATGCAAAGATTTCTGTTGTGACTTATTCCCTGTAATATACTGGGAAATCATGAATTGAAAAATTCTGAATTATTTTTTGTTTGCAGACTCTTTTACATCTATTATCAAAAAGCGGCCTTATGTTACATTCATTTCAAGGAGCTTTGCCTCGTCTGCCATTACCGCGACTAAACGATACTCTTGATAAGGTTAACATTGAATTAGAAGAGAGTAGTTTTTATGCTTGAAATAACTGCTCAGAGCATTTAGGAAAATCATCATCATTATAAATGGA